TAATTGTGATAAAAGTAGTGTTGTTAGAGGGTTTTTTGACTTAATTATTAGAAAAGTAGTGTTTTTTTGAGGTTTTTTGACTTAATTACTATAAAAGTAGTGTTTTTTTGAGGTTTTTAGATTTATTTACTATAAAAGTAGTGCTTTTTGAACTCCATTATTGCTAACAGGTTATCTTAACTTACAATTGGCACATTTGTGAGCAATTTTAGTGACAAATAATGACGAAAAACAAGAAATCATGTTTAAAATCGTTTAAAATCGTTTAAAATCGTATCTGAAAGCAATGAAGTTTCAAATTTTTATACAATTTAGTGAAAAAAGGTAGCTTTGAAATAGCTAAACAAAAAAAAACTGTGAACTCTTTTGATTTTCGAGAAAATCATTCTTTTGTAGAGGGCAACACCCTCTACAAATGAAAATACGAAAGAAAGGTTCTAAAAATATAGAAACATTATCGATTAACCCATTTCAACTTTCCAAAACTATTCATTGTCTTCAAAAGTTCGATTTCTTTTATGTCGCCCCAGGCTTTTCCGCAAAAAGAATGAGGAAATTGCATTCTTTTATTGGCCTTCAGGGGTTTCTATCTTCTTTCCTCTCCCTTTTCCCATTCTTTTAAAACATTTCTGCAAATGTTCGTCTCTTAATACGAAAAGTGAAGTTTTCTTGCTAAAAATGGAACAAATAACGTGCTGAGTTGGGGAATTTTTTCGTTTTTTCAAGAGTCATGAGTCGGAAGTGCGCCATAATTAGCTGGGTTCTATAAATAAATTTGTAAATGTTAAGCAAACATGATACCAACAAGCAGATAGACAGAATGGTCGTAGAGGGCCAGAACTGGGTCAGGTATCAGCTCCAGGCTCCAGTGTTCCTGGACAGACCACAGATGTTGCTTGAACCAGGCTAGGCTAGACCTAGCCTGACTAGGTCTAGCCTAGGCTAGGTCAGCCTCAGGCTTAGGCTTAAGGCTTAGGCTTAGGGCTTAAGCTTAGGGCTTAAGCTTCGGGCTTAGGCTTAGGATTTAGGCTTAGGCTTAAGGCTTAGGGCTTAGGCTTAGGGGTTAGGATTCCGGTAGGGATTCTGGCCTATCAGAACAGACCGGAGCTGGGCCAGGGTCAGCTCCATATCAGCCAGATCAGCCCGGATCAGTTAGATTGGTCTGGCTTGAATCAAGTTTGTGCCAGGCGAAGTGAATCAAACACTGGTTGGTACAATACATATACAGGGATCAAGAGGCCCAGTAAGTCCAAGGCCAAACCAGAGCTAGCTACAGGTCAGCTAGGTGAGCCCGAATCGGATCTGGTTTGCTCCAGGAACCCGTCCACGTCCGCGAACTAATCAATCACATTATATACAGATAGAAATGGATACTCCAGGCTAGATCTGCGCCAGTGTCAGCCACATACAGAATAGTTATAAAGTAAATAGATAAATCCCATATCCTAGACAATATTTCGTAAGAATGTAACCATTTCCATTCAGTTTCTCAATAATATTCTTTCCGAATCCACCCCAATCTATTGTGGGGTGTAAATTGAATTCTCCTTTTGAAATCCCTACCCAAACACTGGCTAGAAAAGGCGGCGATTCGATTAGGCTCGAGCTTCGGGAAATGGCTGGGTTCTTGTTTTGAGTTTTGTCTTTGATCTGGAAAACAAATGAACAAATCTTTTTTTCAGATTTGATCTGGAAAATAGATTTGTACAATAGAGTAAGGTGGAAACTTTGAAATCTGATTTGATTCGCTTTTTAGAGTCATTTTATGTTATTGATATTGTTATTGACTCTTGAACAATGCCCAAAAATAGTCTACCCCTGGAGATTTGAGCTTTTTACAGTTAAGAATGTAGTCAGGAATCTAATTGATTGTTTACCAGCCTCGAGATTAAACAAAATAACAAATTAATTAGTGATAGAGGTGCTACAACTTAAAAAATTGTTAAAAAAAGCTAAAGAAAAGTTGTGCAGTGGATCGTGAGTGAATTGTTGTTGCTCTAGAGTCTAGAAGCCAGGTTTGACTTGGTTTGACTTCAATCCAGGCCAAGGACCAGGCTAGGTTTACATAGAGAAGACAAGCCAGGATCTGAATCTAGTTTCTAGGTCCCAAATCCAAATCTGATTCAGAATTATGATTCTAATAGCCCTGGCCCAGAAAAATCAGTTTTCAAAGTTTCCAATCCTATTTGTGTTCAATTTTTACAATTATACAATCAGCAAAAGGCCATTTGTCTAAATGATCAAGGATATGCTTTTGCTTTTAACAAATTCACGACGATTTGTACTAATTACGATTATTTTTGGTGTCAATTAAGTATTTATCTATTTATTTGTTTTGTTATTTATTTCGCAGAAAGTTCTTGGTACTTTATCATAGTTTTCAAGTGGAGATTCAGGGCTATCGAATGACTATAGTTTAGTTTAGTTTAGTTTAGTTTAGTTTAGTTTAGTTTAGTTTAGTTTAGTTTAGTTTAGTTTAGTTTGGTTTAGTTTGGTTTAGTTTAGTTTAGTTTAGCTTGGCTTAGTTTAGTTATAGTTTATAATAGCTTAGTCTAGACATGTGCACTCAGTCCGTATCAGTCGGTCCGATCTCGGTCCGGTCCAGACCGAAGCCCCAACTTTTCGGTCCAAACTCGGTTCAGACCGAAGCCCCAACTTTTCGGTCCGATCTCGATCCGGTCCGGGCCGAAGCCCCAACCGAAGCCCCAACTTTTCAGTCCAATACGGTCCAGACCGAGATCCGACCGAGTGCACATGTTTAGTTTATCTTTGAATCTACAGAAAATTTTCGGTGAAACAGTTAACGACGTGACTGTTCAATCTCGGTCTGGACCGTAGTCTGGAAAATCTCGGTACGGTCTGGTCTGGAAAATCTCGATACGGTCCAGACCGAGATCCGACCGAATACCAGAATGTTGGCTTATCGATCAATTCATCCGAAATATTCTGATCAATTTCTCTTAAAAAATTCCCAATCGGACAAAGATCATTTCACAAAAAGGCTTCTCAACAAAGAATTCCCATCGGATTTAAATTGAAATGAGAAAAGAGAGACCGAGCTTTAAAGCTTTTTCTCTTTTCTCTATTTTCTTTTCATTTGAATCATGCTTGAAAGCCGAATTCCTGGAATTGCCCAAAAAAAAAAGAGCTCATTTGAGGAAAATTCTCAAAAGTTTAAGCCACAGATTCTGAAATTCAACCGAAAAAGACTCGAAAAACTCGAAAAACACGAAAAAGACTGTTTTGAGTAAACAAGTCGAGATTTTCCCTGAAATTCGAACACTTTTTTGGTGTGAAATATGGTAAATATCAAACTCGTGACAAGTTTTTTTTGAGATTTCTTTTGCTGAGAGCTGAAATTTTTGATTTTAGAGAATTTTAGAGAATTCCCCGGAGAGATATCAAATGAATTTTCTCTCAAATGTCACAAAGAAAACTTTGGGAAAGTTTGGGAAAGTTGTGTAGGGGTTGAAAACTATTGTAAACTGTTGAAAACTATTGAAAGCTATTGAAAGCTATTGAAAGCTATTGAAAGCTAGTGTAAACTATTGAAAGCTATTGTAAACTATTGTAAACTGTTGTAACTATGGAAACTATTGAACTATTGAATTATTGAACTATTGTAAACTGTTGTAAACTATTGAAAACTATTGTAAACTATTGTAACTATGGAACCTATTGAACTATTGAACTATTGAACTATTGAACTATTGTAAGCTATTGTAAACATGATACCAACAAGCTAATTGACAGAAATGAGCAGGGTAGATGGTCAGAACTGGGTCAGGTATCAGCTCCAGCCTTCAGTGTTCCTGGTCAGGTCATTAAAAACTATTGAACTATTGAACTATTGCAAACTATTGAAAACTATTAAAAATATACATTCTTTTCTACATCAATATGTTAATTTAATTAAAATAAATAAACTCAAGTTCAATTATAGCTTTAAATATTGAAAAGAGCAAAGAAACATCTAAAAACTTCACGTTTTTGATTTTTGATTATCTGTGAAAGAGTTAAATAGAGAAAAAAACTGCTTTTCAAGTGCCATTTCCATTTTTCGTCAAAACTAGACTCAAGAATAGAGGAAAAAACTCTCAAAAAGCTTTTTGTCTTTCACGAAAATTTTGAGAGTTTCTTCTCCAAAGAATTTCAAACTTTTTATGCCCGGAAGTCTGGGAAAACTTTTGATTTTTCGGTGACAAGTCACTTTTTAGATAACTTTATACAACCCGTATCAATATTAAACCAAAAAAAGAATCAGTTTTCAAATGGAACACCTCAAGAATCCCAACTTTACAGTCCAAACTTGATCCGGTTCCAATAGGGTTTTTTTTTTGATCTAATACGGTTCCAATACGGTTCTTTTTTGATCTAATGCGGTTCCAATACGTTTCCAATACGGTTCCAATACGGCTCCAATACGGTTCCAATACGGTTCCAATACGGTTGTTCTTTGATCTAATGTGGTTCTAATTCGATCCAATCTCGTCCAATCTCGGTTCGGTGCAGACCAAAGCCCCAACTTTTCAGTCCAAACTCGGTTCAGACTGAAGCCCCAACTTTTCTGTCCAATCTCGGTACGATCCAGACCGAGATCCGACCGAGTGCACATGTTTCGTTTAGTTTATCTTGGAATTTAAAGAAACAACGTGATTCCAAGAGGTGATGAAACAACGTGATTCCTAAGCCTTAACAACGTGACTGTACACCCAAAATATCGGAATCTTGGCTTATTGATCAATTGATCCGAAATATTCTGATCAATTGCTCTTCAAAAAAATTCCCAATCGGACAAAGATCATTTTTGTCTTTCACGAAAATTTTGAGAGTTTCTTCTCCAAAGAATTTCAAACTTTTTATGCCCGGAAGTCTGGGAAGAAAACTTTTGATTTTTCGGTGACAAGTCACTTTTTCGATAACTTTATACAACCCGTATCAATATTAAACCAAAAAAAGAATCAGTTTTCAAATGGAACACCTTCAGAAAACAGTTTTCAAATGGAACACCCAAATTGGAGAATGCTTTGGTCGAATTCTTGGATCGCTTCCCGTGTGCATTGCTCCAAAAGTCGAGCCTTCAGGCAAGAACGATACGCGTTTATCCCACGACATTTATGCTGGAATTGAAGTTTAAGGATTACTGTAGTTATAAAGAATGATTTTGTTAAACAATCTATTGCAATCCCAGCTATCTACTGTAATCCGGTGTCGATCTTCCGATCCGCCCTAGCTCGATTTCATCTATCGTAACCCGTTACCGATTTACCATAACCCGACAACCTACCGAACTACCATAACCCCAATCCGTCGTAACCCAGTGTGCCATAGCTCTCTACCGACCAATCTACCGTATCCGAAGCCTAAGCCTAAGCCTGAGCCTGAGCCTAAGCCTGAGCCTGAGTCTGAGCCTTAGCCTGAGCCCAAGTTACTGTAATCCAGCTCCATAACATGTGATCATTCAAGAATTATAATTGAACTATGGTAAACAAGAGACCAACTTCTTGGATTCCTGTAACATCTACTAACTGGGTACGCTAGCCAATCCATGCTTTAGCCAAAGGTTTGTTTGAAAGCTAAAATTTTCAATTCCCAACTTTACAAACCGTATCATTTCTCAGCGTTCCTTTGATGAACTCTCGACATTTCGGTGTGCCCATCTCGATTTCCAGAATGCAATCATAATGCCGCAAAAAGTTTCCGATATTATTCGGACTGCACATGTAACCAAGATGATCTTGCGCGAAACGGACCTAAAACTGGGTTACTAGAAGGGTTGGTGATAAAAAGGGAAAAGCCAAGGTTCGTTTACCCAAGCTAATGGCACAGGTTCAGGCGCAGCTACAGTAATCTCAAGTGTAATCTATCAGTAGCTACAGTAATCCCAAGCTATCGTAATCCAGAGCTATCGTAATCCCAAGCTGTGGTAATCCCAAGTAACCGCAAACCCTACATTGATCTCAAGCTACCGTAATCTGCAGGGCTTAGCCTGAAGTTTCAGCCTTACCGTTGGATTCCTAAGCTGACCTAAAACCTTGGCTTTGGCTTGATCTGGAAATTTGGTTTGTTTGTCAACCCTGGGGCACTGTATTCGAGTCACATTTTAGTCAGCTTTTTCTTTTTCTTTCATACCAGTTTATCATTGAGACAACTCTCAATCGATTCAAATCCCGCGCAAAGAAAAGTGTTCGCGTATCCATCACACAACTCTAGTAGTTCAGTTCTTGTGTATTTGAAGAGCGGAAAGGTGATCTGGAAATGATTTTGGTTGTAAAAATGATTGATCTGATTAAGGTGATTATTCAAGAAATCTGATTAAGCCGATTATTCGACTCTTCAGTTCTTCACTTTGTACTTGAATTTGACGGGTTAAACAAGGCTATTTTGAAGATTATCACCAGTTAAAGTTATCGATCTACATAGAAAACAGAAAGCTAGAATTCTAGAACTAGAACTAGAACTAAACTAGAATTTTACATAGAAAAATCCCCTGTTTAAAGCTTTTGACTAACGCACATCCTTCAATTCGGGTCTCTGTTCCCGAATCTCGATCCACGTCTTCATCAGAGGTGCAATGCAGGTTCGAGAGCTCAAATTTAGATTTAATTATAGAAGTTTTCTCTTAAATCTCTGAAAGCGTTACCGTTTTTACCTAACACTTTCTTAGCTGACTTTCACTGGATAAAAACAATCTCAGATTTGATTGCATTGAGCAAAAAAAGAGAGAAAACTCAGATCTAATCGTGATACTCGCATAAAATAGACAGCTTTCTCACCGATTCCTTGCCTCTTCCGTGCAATTCGGATTGAATATGGTCACTGGCTGCATGTCCAGCTCGACATTTTCCAATCCATTTGTTGCAAGGAATCTCTCGGTGGATTTTGCCTCAAATGAAGGTGGAACTGGGATCTCTTCGTCCTAAAAAACTTGTTTAATCCATAGTTACTTAGCTTTTTATAGTTATGCATTTTTGAAAAGATATTGATTTTGGGATATTTGATATCTTTTTCCCCCTTTGCCATTGGGAATCTAACTTTGAGCTGAAATTTCTTGGTGTTGAACTGTCCAATATAAAGAGTTTTTGTATCAATCAATAGAGAAAGACTTGGTGCATCTAATGATACCAAGAACATTTAAATTGGAAAGTCCAACACTAAGAAATTTGAGCTCAAAGTTAGATTGGCAATGGGAAAAGGGGCGGGACGTGGATCAAATGTCTGTTATCAAATGTCAAACCATACTGTTAGCTATTACTGTAATCTATGTGCTACATTAGTCGACAAAGTAACTACAGTAGGACTACTGTAGCTACTTTGTCGTTAACTAACGCGGTCCATTACAGTAAAAAAATCATTGTCTCACTGCAGTATGCTGACGTAAAAACTCAACCGAATGAGAGCTTTCAGGATTCGAATTTAGAATCCAACTATATCTTTAGAATCCAATATCTTTACAGCATTATAGCAAAAATCGATCAATTGCTCAGAATTTAGCCAAGTTTTCCTTGAACATTAAACTTGAAATTCACCTTGAACTTGATGCCCTTAAATCGATCCTTTTCCTCTTCATATTCGTTATTCCCAGGGTTCTCCTTTGAGATATCTTCATAATCTCTATCTTCATTTGAATCCATTTGGAAATCAACATTTTCCAGTGTTGTGGCTAAAATTTTTCAAAAATGAACAAAACGAAAACGCTTGCTAACTTACTTTCAAAGATTTCGCTCATAATTGGAGTGAAACTTTGATCGATCGATGGGACATCGGAAGACAGATTTAAGCTAAAGTATTCTTTTTTCGTCTCTTATCCTCAAAAATTCTATTTCGTGCCCAGTTACGGTAACCTCAAATTCTAAAGAGCTCTAAATAATTCAATTTTTGATGGATCTTCATCCATTTTCGACGTCATTAAGCATTTTTAGCCTATAACTATTAACTAAAGCATTTGAAAGTCTTTAAGAAGTTCAAGGTTTTCTTATTCGAAAGTTAACAAATCGAAAAAATGAAAAATTTTGTTGAAATGGGGCTCCTCTATCAGAAAAAGTTTGCTATATTGAAATGATCTTACTTTTTCGTTTCATTTGATCGCAAAATCGGAAAACCCTCATCGGCACTTGTCGTTGACGAGATCACCTCCTCGAAGATTGAAGAATTCACCCAAATACTCTCATCTAAAATTGTTTATATTCTATGCTCATCTTGATTTATATTATCTCATCCAATGTCAATGTTGAAAAGCGAACCCGGTTCTTTTAGCGGACACCCAAATCCGTCGACCATTTCCATCAAAAACTCGAAAGCCGCATTCCCGCAGTGAATCACGTCTCTCATCACACAATCTAAATAGAAAGTTAAAGCTTTTCGTTTCACCAAAATGCACCTATTTCAGACAAAACTAATCGTAATCTGGCAACCAGTTTACTTTAAATCAGCCCAATTTTTGTATCATTGACTGAGTCTTGTGATTCCCTCATGGTCAAAATTGGACTGGAAGGCAGATTATGATAATTTGTCTAAAATTGATGTCTAGGGCCAACGGATTATGGTTACATTCACTAACTGAACTCGTAGCCAAGCTCGTAGCCAAGATGTGAAGGACTTGGCAATAAAAAGTCGATTTCTCGAGGGGGGATTGAACCCTCGATCTTTTTCTTTCCTTGCTTTCAATCGGCAATTGCTCTAACCACTGAGCTATCAGAAATCTTAACTTCGCAAGAGAAAGAAGGAAAAACAAGTGAGAAGAAGGAAGGAAGGAAGAAAGAAAATAACTTAAACTTCTAAAGAAACGAACCCAAAAACTCAGGCATTCCTCGGCACTTTGCGCTCGTTGTAGCGATCGGATCGATTTCCCCTTGAACAAAGGAAAGACAAGGCTGAAAATGGGGAAATTATTCGAAAAACTAAATCGCGATCAAAGCTACCGTATTCTTTAGCACTTGTCTCCAAATACAGTCGATTCTTTTCGTGAATTTCGGTTGTTCTCTCATTTCTCCACACGTTGCTCCCAAAATCTCGTCCGCAAATGTTACAATCTGGAGTTTAAATCAAAAATTAAACAATATATTGAATATATAATTTAAATAATATTTATTATAAGTTATTTAGCTATAAGATATTCAGTTATAAGAAATTTCATTAGCAATTAAGCCTAGAGCTTAATATAAGTCAAAAATTCACCCTTAAAGCTGCGCAATTCTCTTGGATCTCTTTCGTGATACAATTTTTGTTCACTTCTTCGTATTCTTGACATAGAGAAGAGATCTAAAAGCTTTTATTTCAACCATTTGAAAATGAAAATAGCTTAAACCTCATCTCCTGAAACATTGAACAGCGGAAGTCCGATTGGTACAGCGTTTGCCAGCGAGAAATCTTGGATCTTGCTAAAATTTTGGATAAAAGTTGTTTTCCTAATATAAGAGCACCAGAAAAGCTGTGTTCCTAATATAAGAGCACAAAGTACAAGGAAAGAGTACTTTGTGATCAAAAACGGAAACACACCCCACTCTGTCGCACTCATTTCTTTCATTTTCTCAAAACAATGACAACAAAAGTGATGAATTTCTTCATTTCTCTCATAACAATGACAAAAATGGCGAATCGAATGCACCAGAAAGGATGTATTTACAGTTTTGAGCACAAAGTACACTTGTTAAAAGATGTATTTACAGTTTTGAGCACAAATTACGGGGTAGGCTAGTTTCCGCAATTTTTTTTTGCGCAACAGGGTCATTTGCGCAACTCACCATAACTTTCTTCTAAGTCGGTCAATCTTTATGCTTTTGGTGTTATTTTGTTGCACTTATTGAGATCTACAAATTGAAACCAAAAGCATAAAGATTGGCCCACTTAGAAAAAAGTTATGGCGAGTTGCGCAAACGACCCAGTTGCGCAAATAACCCTCTTGCGCAAAAAAAAGTCGCGGAAACTAGCCTACCCCCAAATTACACTTGTTAAAAGATGTATTTACCGTTTTGAGCACAAAGTACACTTGTTAAAAGATTTAAAAGCTCACTCAGTAATCGGCAAAAAGCAATTGATCGCTTTGTCACTCATCGCCTCTGTGCAATTTGCATTCGGATCAATTTTCTCTAAAGATTTCAAAATTTTGAGTAAATCCAAGAAATCCCTACCATTTTCTGATAATTCTTCAGCATTCCCAACAATCTCATTCTTGATAAACTCTAGGAAAATGAAAATTGTAAAAATCTTCTTCCAAACGCTCACCTTTCGCTTTCTTCATCGTTAACTTTCCAGTGGAGTTGATTTCCCGCAAGAGTTCCATATCTTTTTCGAAGTTTGCTAAAATCGCTTTTACTTTTCGGTAAATGAACCATTATACCGTTAGCCAACAAACAACCATGACTGACGATGGAAATTGTAAAGATCGAACGAGCTTCTTGGCCACAGTCCTAAATGAATTCATATTTTTTAGTTAAATGAAATGCTTAGCAGCTAAACTTTATATTGTAAATTGATTAAAAGCAAAAATTTGATTATATTGAGCTGATTCGAAAGAAAACGGACAGCTAAAGGATTGGGCAATCAATTTGAATCACTGCAATGATCTAGAAGCAAGATTTGATCCAAATTATCAAAAAACCGTGAAACAGTTTGAAAGTTATTGTTATGCGCAAATCCATGACCAATACTCTCTTTCAATTTCTAAAAACAGAAACCTTTTCCACGAATGGCGCCGCACAGTCATAGAAATCGGCCACTCCTTTGCACTCCTCTTCCTAAAAAAAATTTGAAATATTATCCACGGAATATATGAAATATATGAATAGATGAATATACGAAATAAATGAAATATATAAAATATATAATTATAATGAATATACAGTCCCCCACAAAAGTAATGCCCCATTGCCATCCAAAAGTATTTTTGTAAGGAAATCTTGCAAAATCGACATTTCAGAAAAAGAGTAGGGCATTTTTACCGACCCATAAGACTCGATTTTTCAAGAATATAAGATTTATCCGTATACATTACATAAAAATTAAAGTATAAAACAAAAACAATAAGTTACTTAACAAATAGCTCCACAAAAGTAATGCCCCATTTGCAAAGAATTAACACCATTTTTTTAAATCAATACTTGGCTGGTCCTCCTTTTGCTTTTATTACTTCATTGAGTCGCTCGGGCATGGAATCCACGAGATTCTTCAAAAGACTTTGGGGGATGGTGGCCCAGAGACGTTGAATGTGAACCCATAAGGCAGCCTTCGAATCGAATTTCTTTTCCTTGAGTCGCGACTTCACAAATGACCAGAGATGCTAGATAACATTGATATCCGGTGAGTAGGGAGGCGGATTGATCAATTTAAGACGATTTGCCGCAAACCAGCCGGGAAGTCGTGCTCGTGTACCATTTTGAAGAGTCACCACCGTTCCCATCATGAGCCTTGACCTGTGTTTCGGGTCGTTGTCCTGCTAGAACATCCATCCAGGAGGCATCGTCTGTGTGACAAAATGCAGCATTTGGGTCTCCATAATGTTCTTGTAAGCCATAGCATTCATCGTTGAGTTGACGTGAACTAATGGATCTACTGAAGTTCGTGACATCGCTCCTAAAGAAAAACAGTCAGGTGACAAATACTAAAAACGCTCTTACCCCGACACATTATGTTGCCTTCATTGAATTTCACCGTAGGCCGAATGTACTTGAGTGTGTATCGCTTTCCAGTCGGCCACCGAATAAGATGGTTTCCGTCCGCGTGAAATAAATTAATTTTTGTCTCATCGGTAAATAGCACTTTCGCCCAATCACTTATTGTCCAATTTCGGTAGGTCCGTGCAAAATCAAGGCGCTGCTTCCGGTGCTTAGAATTCATCAGAGGTTTACGGGCAGGCCTTCTTGCATATAATCCAGCTTGATTTAATCGTCGTCTGATCGTTTCCGGCGATACAACCTGGTTAAATTGATCCCTAATCATTTGGCTTCCATCCGTTGATGTTTTGTTCGGATCGTTTTTCACCATTTGGATCACGGCTCGACCTTCTTTTATGGTTGTGATTGGTCGTCGGCCACTCTTGAGGCCTCGATGAAGGTTTTTGCCGTCTTTTGAATAAAGAGAAAAAATGCGGCGCACTGTCCATATCGAGAAATTGAAGAGGTTGGCCACATCCTTCTCCCGCGTCCCATTTTCCCGGGCCTTAACGATTTGGAGCTTCTTCGGAGGGTCAAGATTTTTCATGTCAGGGATCTAAATAATACAATAGAATACACTTAATGTTCATAGAAGGAGAAACAAAAAGAATAATCATGAAAACGATCAATGGGGGATTACTTTTTGGAGCTAATTTTATTTAGGGGTAATTGCACTCTTCCATATCGATCTTTTGATTGGAAGGATCTCAATCAAAAAATCCAGTTATTTAACAACTAGAATTTCTAAAGTATTTTAAAAGAAAAAAAAAATTTTAAATATATGTTTTCAGGAGGAATTTTGCAAAAAATACTTTTGAATGGCAATGGGGCATTACTTTTGTGGACCACTGTATGTGTCGTAGCCGATTATGAATGAAATTTTTTTGGCAAACTCTAGTAGACATCCCGAAAGTAAGACGAAAAAAAGACAAAAAAAGTAAAAACAAAACTGAAAGCAAGAATCAGTTTTCGTTTCAATAAATGAATGCAATGGATATTCAGTCAATGAATATTTTCAAAATTCAAAATTTTTCCATTTCCACTCACCAATTTCCCCATTGACGACATTCCGATGAGATAGCGCTGACAATGACGAGCTTTCAGTACCGAGCCCGATATGCACATGAAATTCGCTGAAAGATTTCGATTCTTGATTTCTTTTGTTTCATTTCATTTTGCTACTAGCTGATACAAATCCCATTTTCCCTTACGCAGTGCAATTGGCGCCGTCGAACCGCACCAGAAACGAAAATGCAGATTCGCATACATAATCAACTCGTCCCCAGTGCATCTAAAAATTGATTTCAATTTTGTAAAGCTCAAGAGATTAACTGAAGATCTTTAGCGACTTAAGCTTAGCTTGATTTCAAACTTCAAAAGTTCAACAAAATTCAGTTCTACTCACTTTTTCCCCAGTTCTAACATCAAGCAGTCTTCCTCGATCTCCGAATAGATTGAGCATAAGTCCAACAAGGATTTCTTTGTGTAGAAAATGATCTTTGAAAAGGTTTAGCTTTTATTTAAGATATTTTACCGGAAAATGTAGCTGTGTTGCGTGTGACTCGATCTCTTTTACCGTCTCCCATTTGTCAAGAAGTGGACGAAGACAGCGGCCAACCTGGCAGGCAAAAAGAAATTATTTTAATGTAAAAATTGTTCATTTATATCTTCTTTGAATATTTTTAGCTTAATTAGACCCAAAAAAAGACTTTTTATTACAAAAATGACATTGACATTGACAAAAATTAAAACTTGTGACCTTTTTCCGAGAAAATTCTGGGTTGGCAATTTAAAGCGTGGAAAAACTACCGTACCCCTCATAAGCCTCATAATTTGCGCAAAATTCTTTTTTTTTCATTTTTGTTCATTTAATTTTTTTTTTTCGTTTCTCTGATGTGCTCGCGTTTATTTTTGCAAGAAACAAAGGGGATAAAGCTAAGTTACGTTTTTAACAGCACTTTCTGTGACGAGAGCTTTGTTTGTAAAGTTTTTTAGACCCACTTGCTTCCCGACGATCTGCTCCACGAACTTGATGCCAATTAATGTTAAGTTAAGTGGTTTTTATCGTTTTCTATGGTGAAAGCTTTGTTTTTGTGACTTTTTAGTTGAAAAAAGTTGAAACGTCGAAAAAACCGCAAAACGAATAAAATTAAATGAACAAGAATGAAAAAAAAATATGAAATTTCGCGCAAATTGGAGGATATGGTAGTTTTACCACGCTTTAAAGCGCGAACCCAGGATTTTGTCGGAAAAGGTTGCAAGTAACTTAAAACTGTGCTCACTTGAGTTGGATCTACGTCGGCATGACATCGTGATTTGAGAGCTGAAAATCTTTTCAATATGATGTAAAAGATGGATAATATCGAAAGTTTCTGAATAAATATTCTAAAGATATTTAGTTCAAATATTCTTATCTCAGCATACTGTATTGGCAATGATAAATTGTGCTTTCCCAGAAAAGAACTCACATTTCCCATAAATCCCAAGAAAAATCGAAAGCCAAAGTAGAAATTCACGCATCGTTATTCAACAAAAAAGAAAAACAGAAATTTTTTAAATCAAATAGAGTTTAATTTGTTTGTTTAACTTGTTTGTTCAATTTGTTAGCACTCAAATATAGCCGAACCTCAAATATAGCACAATTTGTTTGTAAAGAAATGGGGGAATGAAGAGAATTGGATGAAGGTGAGAGTTGAAGATCCCTTCTGGCAATCCCCTTGAAAAAAAAGTAGGCAAAAGAGAAGCAAAATCCAGTCACATACAGTTATTTCTCCTCTCATTCACCCACTTTTTGCCTCTTATTCTCATATTTTTTGACTCTTTTGTGTTCTTTTTCCCGCTTTATTCTTTTACTTTTCCTTTTTTTTCTTTTTTTTCATCCACTCAATGGCATTCTCTTCTTTCTTTTCACTTCTGAGCGATTTTTCTTTCTTTTTCTTCAGACATCGAAAGTGGTGACTTGGATAATTTCTTGGGCATATCCATTTTTCTTGGAAGTTTGAATATTCTTCAAGTTATGCACTGTTGCAACCAAAAAGTAAAATTTCTGAAGTAATTTCCTAGCATTGCTAAAAGTTTCGAATGTTTTCATTAAGTTTGATGAAAAGGTTGAAAAGAAGCTATTAGAATAAGGTTTAGCTTTAGAATCTATTTAGAATCGTCTCTCGAAGCACTTCCAAGGGCTATAAATAAGTGATAAGCTCCGGCTTCTGTACTGTGTACTATGTTGTAAAAAGTTTGGCCTCTCTCCTCTCTTCATCCGTTTTCTATGAAAAGCCAAAATCTATACTCTGACTGCTGAAAACTTGCAAATCTATATATTTTTTTTGCTAAAAACAAGTTGATATCGTTTACAGAATAGATTTAACGAAATTTTGACAACTTTTGTGCTTTTTACGTGCTGTACTTATTAAGTACTTGTTCTGTACTTATTAAGTTACACTTTTGCAAAGTAAACCTTAAAAACAAGCCTAGCATTCAACTATTGTATCCAGAAATTTTCAGAATGCCACTTTGTCTGGCTTTTTAGTACAGTTAGGTTGAGAAAAAGAACAAGTCTTCCGCGAATTCAATAGAGAAGGAGAGAAGGGTTTTTTTTGTGGATCCATTACCCGGAATTCTTTTTCTTTCGACCAGTCGACCGCTATTCTTTGTTTGCCGCATTCATCCGGCACACAAATCTCTGACTCTTTTAGGAATCCTTTTGCTTTTGAAATCTTGCAAAAAGCAAAAGCATTCGCCAAGTCCAGACTCGAACCCGGGTCAAAAGACTAGCGGTTGAGAGCCTAATGCACTAACCACTTGGTCACGACGACGTAGGTTCAAGGGTCGGAAAATTGCTTGATACTCGTCCGTTAAGCGCAACACTTAAAAACTTTTTTTTGATACAAACTTCAAACAGATTTAAATCGAAAATTTGAATTTAATTCGAAAATAAAGACAAATAATTTCGATATTCGGAATCAGCGAAAAATTTGCTATAAAATAGGCTAGGTTTCTCTTTGAAACTGAATAAACAACGATCTCTAGTGAGAGGCAAAGAGCTGAAGTAGAAAACTGAAGAAAATCTTGGGGTTTTCGCGAAACTTTCCTAAACGTAGCCTTTCTGGTGCACTGAAATGTCTCGTGTTTCTTTAGATTTTCTTGTAAATTCCTGTATTTTCAATAATTTTATTCATTCTCTAGCCGCATAGCACTACCAAATAAATTAACATAAAAATGAAATGAAAAAAGTGTGAGAAATGAAATGGAAAAAACTAACTACTCATCCGTCAGGTAGATTGAAACTTTTCTGACTTGAAATCTTAGAACAGCGCCGTCTTATCATAGATTTGGTTGAGTGCTTTAAAATTGTAAGAGGAAAACATCAAAACCCTCTTTTTAAAAAATCTTTTGGCTAAACTCGAGGCTTTTGGCGACTAGGCGTGGCTCTTTTATCTTGCATCCCGAATCCGCTTCCTCGAATTGATCGAGCAATCCTCTAGAGCTTTTTTTGTAAATCGTGTGATTAAAGTTTGGAATGCCCTTCCCGACAAGTTGCGTTTGATCTCCACTCTCTTCTGATTCCCCACTCTCTTCTGAAAGGAACTAAATAGGAACTATAAAGGAACTAAATAGGAACTAGAAAGGAAAAAAAGAAGGAAAAAAAAGGAACTATAAAGGAACTAGAAAGGAACTAAAAAAAAAAAAAAAAAAAAAAAAAAAAAAAAAAAAGGAACTAGAAAGGAACTAAATAGGAACTATAAAGGAACTAAAAAGGAACAAAAAAAGGGAAAAAATATAAAGGAACTAGAAAGGAACTAAAAAAAAAAAAAAAAAAAAAAAAAAAAAAAAAAAAAAAAAAAAAAAAAAAAAAAAAAAAAAAAAAAAAAAAAAAAAAAAAAAAAAAAAAAAAAAAAAAAAAAAAGAAAGGAACTATAAAGGAACTAGAAAGGAACTAAATAGGAACTAGAAAGGAACTAGAAAGGAACTAAATAGGAACTATAAAGGAACTTAAGAGGAACTATAAAGAAACTAAATAGGAACTATAAAGGAACTATAAAGGAACTATAAAGGAACTAAATAAGAACTATAATTTTAAAAGTCTGATTTTAAAAGGGCTACTTCGTTGCATTTTAAGTGACTTTGTGATCTCTTATCTGGTACATTTTTCATGTCGTTTTCGCACTTTATTTCTTTCTAAATAAAGTATTTATATAAACGTAGCCTTTCTGGTGCACTGAAATGTCTCGTTTTTCGCTAAATTTCCTTGTAGATTCCTGTATTTGCAAAAATTTTATTCATTTTTCAATAATTTTATTCATTCTCTAGCCGCATAGCACTACCAAATAAATTAACATAAAAATGAAATGCAAAAAAAATGTGAAAAATGTGAAAAATGTGAAAAATGTGAAAAATATCCTAAGTGATTATATTTTTCAAATAAATATGCTTATTGCTAGTCTTTAAATCAAAAATCAATAAATAATCTTTAAAAATAGAAATTTTTTGATTAATTTTGACAATTTTAACTTTAGGCAATGAAAATTTTAAGAGATTTTTGTAAAAAAAGAAAAAAAAGACAAATTTTCATAAGAAAAACCCCTAAATGTTCTTAAAATTTAGAAATTTAATAGTAAAAAGGTAATAATAGTAAAATTTAATAGTAAAAAGGATTATATGCAAATTTTTAAGAAATTTTGGCTCAATGGATGGAGAAAAAGAAGTGACAAAATAGGGGAAATTAAGGGAATTTTCTCGAAACTCGAATAAAAATGATAAAAATGGATTAGCTTTTGATTAGAAAGATTAGATTTTGAAATAAACGATTAAAAACTATTTTGAGAATGATGAGAATGATGAGAATGAGGAGAATGATGAGATTGTGTAGAATGATTTTAAATGCTTATTCTCATTGCTAATATTATTATGATCATTATGATCCCATTATGATCCCATTATGATCAGCTTATGATCAGATTATGATCAGATTATGATCACATTATGATCACATTATGATCAGATTATGATCAGATTCTGTTTACATTATGATCATTATGATCATTATGATCATTATGATTATTATTATAATCAGATTATGATCATTATGGTTATTATTATGATCATTTTCTCTTTAATAGCCGTAATTACTCATGTCAATTTGGATTGTCGGGAATTTCTGTTTCGTTTCCTCTTCGTCCGACGAACTGTCGTCCCGTTTCGCGTTGAATTGATGCTCTGGCAGATCGATTCGATAACTAAGTTTTTTCATATTCATTTTCGCACAATTAACACAATTTTTTTGAAAGCTTAATCGTTGTTTTCCTTGCGAACTTTTCCCGGATTCGATCACCGCTCAGCTACCGTAACCCTAGCCGATTTATGGACTTTACTGTGTCATAGATTGGCTGTTAATGTTTTTGACTTATAATCACCGCAAGTCATCTCTCCCTTTTAATTAAATCACCCTATTTAATCAATTTTTGTTTGGGTGTGGGGTTATGGTTTCTTTTTGTCCCTAAAACCTTTTCCTCTTTTTTATTTCGAAAAAAAACCTCATTCTTATTAATTTGTTTTTCTTTTTTTTTTATGTGGGTTGGGGGATCTTGCCGTCCTTTTTAGCGTTGTTTTGTTGCTCTGGCAGATCGATCCGATACTGGTGTCTTTTTTTCCCCAATAAACCAATTTTTTTTGAAGGCTTTCTTTTTTTTTCTCCTTGCGACCTTTCCCCGTTTTCACCCCCCCCTCTTCCCCTTACCCTTCCCTTTTTTTTTGGTTTTTACTTGTTAGTTGAAAAGTCTACCTAACCAATGTCTCGCTTACAATAACAGAAGCTTGCTTAGGAAGCAGCCCCTTGGCATTAAGATCTGAATCGGATTATGGTAGCTGGGATTTGCTTCAGAACTAGGCTACCGTATCCAGACAGGCTTACTTTAGTAGTTGGCATATTGAGCTTGGTTATCATAGCAAAAACTAGCTTAGGAATCTGTGAAAAGATGCCATAGATCTCGATTTAAATAGAGCTACTGTAGCTGGAACAAGCTTTAGAGCTCCCTATCGACTCCTAGCCTAAGCCTAAGCCTAAGCCTAAGCCTACCGTACCCCGTTTAGAGCTTGAGTCCTACCCAAGTCTACTTGCTACCGTACTTTGTTTAGAGCTTGAGTCCTACCGTAAAAGTCCACAAGTCCTAGATTTAGATTTGACATTTGATTTGATATCAGATTTAAGATTTAAGCTTGATTTAAGCCCTACCCCTTTTCCCATTAGCAATCGAACTTTGAGCTCAAATCTCTTGGTGTTGGACTTTCGAATTGATAAATTATTGGTATCATCCGATTAAGTATTTCTCTGTCGATTGGTGGAAAAACTATTTAAATTGAAACACCAAACGCCAAGATATTTGAGCTCAAAGTTGTATTGTCAATGGCGCGTAGGTCCCTCAATCCTTTTGCTAGTCATTTTAGTGAATACTAGGTCTAATGAATACAGATTGTACAGTACCCGTAGTACATTTCTATATATTTCTCATGCAAACTCACCCCTCGTGCATGCCCGCCACATCATTTGGATGAATAGCCGGTCGATGCATTTCCGGGACTTGCACCGAATCCTCCAATCCAGCCGCCACTTGCAGTGTCGGATCCACATCCAAATCCGCGCATTGAACATAGTCGATCTCTACCTGAATTCCTTTGGCTTAAAATTTTGATTCTTTTTGCTCACCCGATATTTACATTTAGCCACATATCGAACGAATTTCTCGACTCGATCCGAATCCTCGTGTTGTTCAACAGAAACTGATCGAACTACGGTATTTGAAACAGTTGCCAAAGGCATCGTGAAGTCAACCTAGAGAAAAAGTACGTACATAAAAGTACGTCAACCTAGTACGTACATAAAAGTACGTCAACCTAGTACGTACATTTACACTTCTAGCCTGTTCGTCAATAGGGGTACAACGGAAATTCATGTCTTAAGCTCTTTAAAATCGATTTTTTCAAACTTTACGTACAGTCGTGTAGTTTAACGCGTAGTTTAACTTTAGTTTAACTCGTAGTTTAACTTTAGTTTAACGCCTAGTTTAACGCGTAGTTTAACGCGTAGTTTAACGCGTAGTTTAACGCATAACCCATTCTCCGCGCTATTTTATGCTACAGTGTGCGCTTGGATGGTAAATGTACAACATTATTCGCTTTATAAATGTATTCTTAATCCGGATTTCGTTGATTACATAATTTGCGAGTTCTAGCAAGCAATAGACTATCGAAATTGTAAACTCTAACAAAGTGCAACTCTTGAATCGCTTTTTTGATGAACCTATCCAAATGAAGTTCATCAAATTAATCAAATCCTTGTTAGATTCTTTAGATTTGGGTCTGTTTCCATTTCTTTTCTCACCTCAACATTTGGCAAGAATGTTTCTGGCATCAAATCGAATGATGAGAGCTCGAAACGGCATTTCAGCAAGTGCGCTTTATAAGCTTCATGGTGCTTCTCCGGGAGACGAGGAATCCGCCAAACGAGACTACGGTAAACGTGCTCGTACTTAGCTTCTCCGATTGCCACCTAAAGAATTCATCTTTATACAATATCATATTAGGGTGTCCCGAATGAAAATACCCTCAGCTTCGATTGCAATTTTTTTGGTGTAGCGAACAGCTTCGCGTCTGATTTTTGTTTTGTTTTAAAGTTGTATATCTTTTCTAACTCTATGTTTTTATAAAAATTTACTGCCTTACAATTTTGACTTTTTTCGAATGGAAGATCAGAAGTACCGAATTCGGGTGTGCTTGCTCTACGACTTTAAACAAGGAAAAAGTGTCCGGGAGAGCCATAGTTCAATCTTGAAATTTTTTGGAGAAGCTGCTTATTTTGAGGAAGCTTGTAAAAAATGGTTTCAACGATTTAGAGAGGGAGACGAAACTCTACAGGATCGAGGACGTGGTCACTCCCTCCACGATGACGATCTTCGAGAAGCCATAGAAAATGACCCAACCTTGTCGACTCGGGAACTTGCAAAAATGTTTGCTGTAGGCCACACAACAATTGCGGACCATTTACACCGTTTGGGTAAAGCGAATCTCGTCGGAGAATGGGTATCCCATCAACTTAGTGACGCTAATAAAGCTACTCGAGCGACTATGGCCGGTATTCTTCTTCGTCAATCAAAAAATCGAGGTTTTTGGGACACTATTATGACGGCCGATGAAAAATGGATTTACTACGATAACCCATCGCGAAAACAGAAGTGGTTAAGTCCAGGAGAACAGTCAAAAAACGACGCCACAACCTGATCCGGATGGAAGAAAGGCCATGTTATCTGTTTGTTGGAATTCCCGTGGTCTGATACACTTTGAGGTTCTACATTCTCGTCCAACAGTTACCTCAGATGTATATGTGCAACAGCTGGAACTTTTAGACCAGACTCTCAAGAATCAAGGTGTAAACGCATCGACTGTGAGATATCTGCAAGATTGCGCGCGCTCACACACAGCAAAGATGACGCAAGAAAAACTCGAGGAATTGAATTGGGAATGTCTCCCGCAGCCGCCGTATAGTCCAGATCCGGCACCCTCAGACTACCGCTTATTTCGATCTATGCAGCACTTCCTGACCGATAAACACTTCAAGGATCACGACGAAGTCCGAATTTGGGTAAGCCAATACTTTGACTCGCAGCTTCAGGATTTCTTCAGCAAAGGGATCCGAGATTTGAAAGAAAAATGGAGAAAGACTATTGCCAACAACGGAGAATATCTTTTGGATTACAGCACCTTTTTTTCTTTTTGTGGAGATAGATTTGTTTTTCATTAAAAGGGTATTTTCATTCCGGACAACCTAATAATATCAATTAGAACTTTGCAGAGTTAACACTAATATTTACTAAATGCTTTTCTTTATTTAAACAATAAACTTTATTGATTAGCGTTTCATTGGAAGACGTTAGACTTCTTTAAAAAAGGCTTGTCTGTCTGTCTGTCTGTCTGTCTGTCTGTCTGTCTGTCTGTCTGTCTGTCTGTCTGTCTGTCTGTCTGTCTGTCTGTCTATCCCAGTCGACCATTTCAAATAACTTATTGTTAGTTTGGCTTAGAATTTCATGTAGTTGTGCAACATGTTTTTAAATTTTTAAAAAACCGAAAGTGCCGACACGAGCGGGAGTCGAACCCGTGTCATTTGGGTTAGAGACAAGTGCTTGCACTGCGCCATCTACTTGTCGAGCGGTTAACGCGCGCGTCTCTCAAGCAAACGGAAGCTGGTTCGACTCCTCTTGGCGCAAATTCTTTTGCTTTTTCCTCCAAAAAACTCTTTTGTTGATTGTGACAAAACAAGGATCTGTTGTCTGTGCCCCACCTCGATCAGATTGCTTTCGGTTTGCTGCACAGCGCCGAGGAGGCGATCTTTGAGATTCTAAAACGTGAAGATTTTAACTGAAAATGTAGATTAGATCATAATTTGATAGTTTTTGTTTTTATTTTACTTTAAATGACTCTTAAAATGATTTCTCTAAACCCACCTTCACTTTCCCGGGTCTGAGCTTTTTCGAGTGAACCGAGCCGACGCCCCAATGACGCTCCTCCCGAAAGATGTAAATCCAAGCCTCAGGAATCGGGAATCTAAGAAATTGAAATAAGGTTAAAGTATTTATGTTTACCTGACAACAATATCTTCGCATGGAATCTGCCGCCTTGTCGCTTTTCCGCCTTTCGAGCGCTCAACTTGCGCGGCAGCCATCGCTTCCATTCGAATTTCAACCTGAATTTTGAAAATTTTGAAGGAAACTTGGACTATTTCGATTTCGAATACTATATTAATATTAAGGAAACATATTTTAAAATCTGGCTTCAATTTGAATCACTTTACAATTGTGAAGAGCCAGGGGATTTCTCTTTCTGCCTTCTCTTTCTTTCTTTCTTTCTTCCTTTCTCTTTCTCCTTTATTTCCTCTTCTTTCTTTCTTCCTTTCTCTTTCTCCTATATTTCCTCTTCTTTCTTTCTTTCTTCTTTATTTCTCCTTTATTTCCTCTTCTTTCTTTCTTCCTTTCTCTTTCTCCTTTATTTCCTCTTCTTTCTTTCTTAGCGGATAGTTCAGTGGTTAGAACAATTGCCCGAAAAGCAATATCTTTGCAGGTCGAAGGTTCAATTCCTCTCCGAAAAGGTTCAATTCCTCTCCTCTCCTTTCCTATTTCCTACTTTACTTTATTGCAGTAATGCTATGGATGAATTGGACAGTTTCCTGATCTTTTGGAGCTGGAATTGTTGTTGTTGGATCTGAGGGTGAAATTAAAAGGTTAAAACAATAATATATTAATATTGGCTTTGAAAAGATTGCAAAAATTTTCAAATTTAAACTTTTGATCCAGCGATTTTCATGATGCACTTCACAGTGAGCGCTTTTTCCCGATTCCTCGGCGGTCGAACCCGGAATCGCATTATCTAAAAGCATTATCTAAAAGTTATTAGAAAATTTTAGATGAAATATTATATTTTTGAGATCTATAAGAGTTGAATTCAAATTTTGCAAAGTTTGCAAAGTTTTCCTTTTCTTTTCGACTTCTTTTCGACTTCTTTTCACCTCAAAAAAGCACCCATCGGGTGGTTGGAGTCGAATGACTTGCTCCTGCTCGAAAGATGGTTGATCAACGGTGTTGTGGAACTGGGAATTGATTAGTTTATTGGAAATTTAAATCCTCAGATCCTCAGACAGATCCTTTTTTGAATTCCCAATATCCTTTTCCAAGAAAGCCTCACCTCCAAGTTCTCGAAACGAATCCATCTCTCGGTATACATTGGCAAAATGTCTTTCCTTCGAACGACCTCCTAAAGAAAAAATTCGATTTAGTAAAAAAAGGAAATAAGAGAAAAGATAGAAATTTAAATGTAGAAAGGAAAAAATATAGAAATTAACTAATAAATCTAAGGGTTTATGTCAAAAATTTGAATGTTACAATAGGAATTGATTCAACAGTTTCATAGCCCGATTGATAGCCGTCATTTTTTTTTGGCTAACGGCTTATAACAAACTATTGTAGTCATTTTATCGTAGAAAAATTAGATTTACTAAATTGGAATACCCTACTTTTCCTTGTCTCCGCCGATCGTTTAAACCAATCTCCAAGAAAGGCGATCCGGTCACAAAAGCTAGGCAAAACATTCGCACACGGGCTTTTTGATCGGAAACGATTCCCAGCTTGTCGATGTGAGATGAGTATTCATCGTAGCAATGAATCTGAAAAAAAAATCGCTTAGGTTTCGATTCGATTTCGATTTGATTCGATTTTCGATTTATCTCTTGTCTCAAACTGATCCTAAGTTCTGTAAGTGAGGCTAGAGATCGGTTAGATGCAGGTCCAGTTAAATCAAGCCTGATAAAGCAATGCTGAACCACGGCTAGGCGCTGGCTTGATCGGCCATGATGTTTCTGGACTAACTTAACCTGTAAACAAATCAAATCCAGCTATCGTATTAGTGAAATAAACCTTCCCTAAGCATGAACCCTAAGCTTCGCCTACATTGCTTGAAATCTCGAAAACCACTTATCAGAACCTATCGATTAGGGTCGGAAAATGTAGCTGACAATGAGATCTATTGGATGATTTGAGCATTGGGCTTCTACGAAAACTTTAAAACCGTAAAATAGCCACCAAACTCGGCTTGGTGGTGGCGCACTATTAGGGAAAATACGATCATTGTTAATCAGGCTATCAGGCAAAGCCAAAAGCCAGGCCTGATCTTACATGGTCTTGTCCAATCTACCCCTTCAATCTACCCCTCCAATCTACCCCTCCAATCTACCCCTTCAATCTACCCCTCCAATCTACCCCTCCAATCTACCCCTTCAATCTACCCCTCCAATCTACCCCTCCAATCTACCCCTCCAATCTACCCCTCCAATCTACCCCTCCAATCTACCCCTTCAATCTACCCCTTCAATCTACCCCTCCAATCTACCCCTCCAATCTACCTGTACTTCATCCTGTTTATACACGGGTTTAGTGTCCCTCTTGGCTGGACATTTGAAAAGAATATCCTCGATCGTGTTCACGAATGATTGAAGCTCGTCAGCAGCTAGTGAGCCGAACTGAAAAGAAACGTTTGAAGAGAATTGAAGCGACAATTGCTTCAGCTTTAGTTTGGTGATAAAGTTCAAGGTTTACCTTTAACAACACATTACAATTGGCTGAATGTTCCAATGGAAGACCGTACTTTGTGATGTGTCCATCGACGAGACGAGAGATTTGACCTGAAATCATGAAATCCTTTTTTTTGCACACGTTTAATCCTCTTTATAACCTTGCTACCATAATCCGTAAAACTGTCTTTTATAATGACTTTTTCTACCGTAACCCATCCACCAAATACATTACAAATAGGCCTAATTAAAGGCCCTACTTAAGCAATATAGCCCTAGTTAAAGGCTAAATAAAGGCCAAATAAAGGCCAAATAAAGGCCTAATAAGCCCTAGTTTTTACCAGGTTGACTGGGACAAATTGCAGTCCTAGAAGCACATTATAAAACATTACAGTTACAGGGTACGATATTCTTGAGCAGCCTATAACCAAACCTGGCCGAATCCCGACTCTTTCCTTGTACTGAACGAATTGCAGCTTCACCGTGTGAATCTTTCCATAGACATCGTAAGCCTAAAGGTATCCGATGTATAGCCATAACAGATAGCCAACTGGATAAGAGGCCTGTCTCTTAGCCAATCAGCCAAGGGTTCAATCCTGGCTAGATTACTAATAGATTACTAGATTACTAGGCTAGATTACTAACTCTAATAGTAGTTTAGGTGACCCTGGGCGTCACCTAAATTCCTCGAAATCTCGAAAAGCGCTTATCAGAACCTATCGATGCGGGGTCGGAAAATGTAGCTGATGATGAGCTCTTGTGGGGGTGTTGAAGCCTTGAGCTCTTGAGTGTTGAGCTTCTGGGAAAACTTTGGAACCGTAAAATAGTCATCAACTCGGCTCGCCACTACTCTTAGAGAGCATACGGTATTAGCTCTTTTTTCCCTAGGTTTAGAGCTCAGAAGTTGTGCTTGTGCATAGTTTTTACCGCATTATTTGATTGAATAAATGGTTTGAATTGTATTTTATTGTGTTGTATTGAATAAATATCTTTTTCTCTATCCCACCTGTAACGTCGTATCGGAAAGACTGTAGGAAGCCTGCAGAAGAAGCTCTTGAATCGGTTTATTGTCGGTTTTCGAGTTATAGATCTAGAAAGTTAGATATTAGATAGCTTTTGATAAAACATTATTTAGAAACATCTAATAGCATTTTTGCACTTACAATGAGGGTATTCCCGTGAAGCCGCACGAAACAAGGTTTCCAAAAGCGATCGGCCATGATTTTCTTCTTCAGTGGGTGCCTGGAATTCGAATTTTAACTGACGATTTATCGCTTTTGATAAAGCGATTTGATCTTTAGATAAGGAGAAGATTGGCTTTGAGAATGTAGCCATTGGTTTAATATTGGTTTCTAAGTGTTTCTCAAGCAATTCCCGTATCGGGTAGGGTTCTAAGCTGACCCTAGCCTTGCCAAGTCTGGCTCTACTGCACTCTCTACAAGTCTGGCTCACAAAAGATCTACCAGATCGAAACCTGGAGATGTCTGGCCTTGCTTACAGATCTTAGATCGGATTAGAATCTATTAGTTAGCTACTGCTCTATTAGTTATAGATCTATAGGATATTCTAAGCTTGGCTTAGAATTGGGTTAGAATTGGGTTTGAATTGGGTTAGAATTGGGTTAGAATTAGTTTAGAATTAGTTTAGAATTATCATCGTTAGAATTGTCACCCACCGGATCATCAACTCCCATCCATCACCGCTAAACTTTGGAATGAAATCGTCAAGCGGTTGTGAGTCATCCTCGTCGTATAATGGGGTCGGTGTTGAGCCGTTTGAGCCTCTCTGTAAATAGATATTGAATTTGTTCAGTTAATTCACAGTTTGATCAGTCTGATCTCAATTCCAACGATTACCTCAGCTTTAAACTCATCATCGAAACCGGTTGGCCGTGCGCTGATCGGGCTCCCGCCTTCAGGCGTTGGTGTTGAGTGGGTGGATCTATAATGTTTTGGATTCGATCCACGACTAAAACCAGAGCGAATTCAGTCACCAATCAGTAGTTTAGTGCAAAAATTTCACAAAAACCTGGCTTCAGTATTTCCGAAATAGTCCATATCGTCGTGTCCATCGGCGGTTAATTTTGCCGCCTCGGCTTTCGCTTTCGCCGCCGCAACAATGTCTTCCACTGGTCGAACGTCGAATGGATCGTAGTTCTGAAAATGTTGAGACAACAATGACAATTGTTGAGACAATTTAGTTTCCATTCTATTTCTATTTCTATTTCTATTACTATTCCATAGCCCAATCAACTCACATCATCAAAAAGACTCGCTTCTTCCGGCGGTGCGAATGGATTCTCTTTTGGGGGTAAAGCGAATGGATCGGCCGCTTTTATGGCAAAAGATCCGCCTTGAGAATCCTTTGAGAAAAATCCCGATTCACTTGGGGCAAGCTCAGGAGCAGTGGCCTCGAAATCGGCCCAGCTTGGCGCCGAAAGAGCTGGATCATCGGGATGGCTAAAATTTACGCTTAAAGATGTTGTAGAGAAAAGCCCATTGACAGATCGGCATTTTCTAGTCGCTGGGATCGAACCCGTGACCTCTTAACTAGGGTACAAGACTCCTAACCACTCAGCTATAACAGCTTTGACTTTTTCTCACTTACAAATCTCCAATCGGATGCGCACTGTCAGCGCTTTGTTGAAAAGTTAATGGAGCATGTGAGGGGAGATCGAGAGATGACGATTCTTGGTGCGCTTCTTTGATCGATGACCTGATAATAAAATCATAATAAAAGAAGAGAACAAGAATTGGATAACTTACAGATTTTATTACGATTTTAAAGTTACAACTAACTTTTTCCTCGGTGGAATCGCGTCAGCCGGGGTTGAGTCTTTCCTCGTCACATCGATTGCCGGTTTTTGTGTTATCACAGCTCCTTCAGGCGGTTTCCAATCAGCTAGTGCTGGATCGCCTCTACCTATTGCCATTTTTGCAGCCATTTGCCGTGCCAATTCTTCTGATGCTTTGTCCATTCTTTCTTGATCGTCCAATGTGTATTCAGGAGATGGCGCTCGTTTACCCTAAAGATTGCTGAGATTCGAAATTAAACAAGACTTGAATAAGGCTCTATTCTAACGGTAATCGGATAAGTGTCAATGTAGCCCATTGGTGGAGCGCTTGCCTGGTAAGCGAGCGATAAGCGTGAGGTAAGCGAGAGATTGGGGTTCGAATCCCGGCACCGACTAGTTTCAACCCATTAAAGGACTGTCCAACTCTTGATCTACCAACCAAGATCTACCTAAGCCTAAGGCCTAAGCCTAAGGCCTAAGCCTAAGGCCTAAGCCTAAGGCCTAAGCCTAAGGCCTAAGCCTAAGGCCTAAGCCTAAGGCCTAAGCCTAAGGCCTAAGCCTAAGGCCTAAGCCTAAGGCCTAAGCCCAAGGCCTAAGCCTAAGGCCCTAAGCCTAAGGCCTAAGCCCAAGGCCTAAGCCTAAGGCCTAAGCCCCAAGGCCTAAGCCTAAGGCCTAAGCCTAAGGCCCAAGCCTAAGGCCTAAGCCTAAGGCCTAAGCCTAAGGCCTAAGCCTAAGGCCTAAGCCTAAGGCCTAAGCCTAAGGCCTAAGCCTAAGGCCTAAGCCTAAGGCCTAAGCCTAAGGCCTAAGCCTAAGGCCTAAGCCTAAGGCCTAAGCCTAAGGCCTAAGCCTAAGGCTTAAGCCTAAGGCCTAAGGCTGAGTCAATCGTTAAACTTAAAAAGTCTAGTGTTTATCTAGTGTTTATTAATTAAAGAGTTTAGCAAGTTTCGAATAAAGATTCTCAAGATTACACAGGTCAAATCGGCAATCAATAATAAAGAATCGTAACCTAATCTTCAGAGTATCAAAATATTCAGCCTTATCCATCTTTTATTCATCCCCAAACCTGTTGTTTCATTTTCTTCTTCAGCGCTTTCTCTTTTTGTTTCTCTTCCGTCATTCGGCGAATTTCTTGCTGCGCAAGGGTCTCAGTGTAGCCTTGAGCACCACTGAATATTCTCAAGATCATAAAAGTTAATCAAAGTTAATCAAAGTTAATCAAATCAAATCAAATCAAATCCTTCAAAGCTTTACTAGTCTACATCACTTTTCTAATGGTATAAGACTGAATCAAAAAGTTTTAACTGCTAAGTTTTAACAACTAAGTTTTAACAGCTAGTTTCCTTATCTAGCTATTGGATAATTATTACGGTACTTTAGATATCATTTTACGGCACTAAATTAGCTTTTTACATGAATTTTAAATGAATGAATGAATAGAATGAAGAAAGGAGAAGAATTTTCAAATCTTGAGAGATCCAGGACGTCATTACTGTACAGTCCTGAATCCAGGACGTCATTACTGTACGGTCCTGGATCCAGGACTATACTAATGACGACGATTTTTGTGTCAACTCAAAGACTTTGTCATTTCTTTTGCAGAAAGTTCAGAAAGTTACTAGCTTTCAAGAGGAGATTTAGATCGATCAAATTAGTTTAATAGCTTAGTTTTTCTTTATCTTTACACAAAATTAGTAAAACATTAAAGACTACAAGACTGTACGTGTAAAATAGCGTCGTTAAAAATTCGTTAAACTGATTCGTTAAATTGATTTGTTAAACTGATTCAAAGCCATTTCTAAACACTCACCCAACATTCGCTAAATAACTCTCATCTTTGATATCATTGACAGCTGTGTTCTCACTCAAGTCTTTCAATCGCTCTTCCGTTGATTTCACTGCCACATTCACCTTAAAGTAAATGACATAAGCTCAAGAATCACTTTTCCCACCTTATCCGTCATTTTCTTGAATTGTGCCCATGCGTCTTCCTCTGGTTCCTCCTTTTTCTCTTCTTTTTTTGGTGGTGGAGGAACAGGTCGAGGTGGAGGAGGTCGAGCTGCGGGTGGAGGTCGAGATGGAGCTAAAAAAACGATGGCTATTTAAATTTTGCATCAAAACTAAGATTCTACACATCTTAGTCTTCATCTTAGTCTTCATCTTAGTCTTCATCTTAGTCTTAGCAATAAACCAAAACATTACCAGCATTTCTGTCATTTCTGATCTCTAACTTATCTCACCAGTTGCTGGAGTTGGATCTTGTTGCGATTCGGTCCCTTGTGCAGGTGGTGGCGGTCTTGAGGGTGATGGTGGTGGTCGGGGTGGCGCCTGAGAAGTTTGAGTCGATGACGTGGCACTCGAATCCCAGCCAAACTCGTCTTTTGGTGGCCTATATTTCTATTTTAAAGGCACAAAGCTCAGAAATTCTAGAAATTCTAGACTCACGGTGCTTCAAAAAGCGGTTTGGAGACAACGGGTGGTCTTGGTGGGGGGATTGACTGTTCAGCTTCTGCTTGGCTTTCAAAGGGATTCGTCGGTTGATAGGAGTAGTCCTAGAAATGGAGTTGACTCAGTTTTGATTCAATAGGATTGAGATTTGGGTTTTGTAAGACAAGCGAGAGCAGAGGCGGGCAAAACCAGGGTGCTCTGGATCAAGGGTTTTGAATCAAGCCCAGAGTTTTGAACTAAACCAGAGAGAACTAGTTACAAGCTTAGCTTAAAGGAGCCTGGACCATAACCTGCTTCAGGAGCATAACCTGGTTCAAGACTATAACCTGGTTCAAGACTATAACCTAGTTCAAGACCATAACCTAGTTCAAGACCATAACCTAGTTCAGGATCATAACCTGGTTTAAGCCAAGAACCAAGGCTACAGTAAAACCAGGGTAGAACCAGATCCAAGCCTGGATCGGTTATGATTCCAGGGTTGTAAACCAGGCCTACTATAAACGTGGTCCGGTCTATTTCTGGTTACTCTCTAAAAACAGGAACCTTTCTATGCTCAAAAGCTTTCTCAAGGCTTACCAAGATACCCAATTCTTCAATTGACAAACCTGTGCATACTCCTGTTTTTCCGGTTGATAATGCTCCTGTTGATCATATGAATATCCCTGTTGATCGTACGAGGTTCCTTGCTGATAGCAACCATTTGTCTCATTGTTGTAATAAGCTAAAGCTATTGTAAAAAGCAAATTGTAAAATTTCTAAGTCCAACCTGTTCCCTCAGTACTTGTTTGGGAATAATCATATCCTTGATCATAGGCTGACTGTTGATAATTCGCCTGATCGTACTCAGTTTGTTCATATTTTTGTTCTCCACTTGCAGCTAAAGTCAACAATTTTGTGCTAGAATCTTTGCCAAACCTTGTTCTCCATAATTCTCTTCATACCATTTTCGGTACTCCTCCGAATTGTAATATTCAGGATCGTATTCTTGTCCTCCTTGATTGTAGTCATAGGTTCCTTGATTCTCCGCTTCACTGGCTTGAGCGTTATACTGAAATCAAAGTTATGGATACTGTAGCATAAAAGCTAGCCAGACAGCCAGACTGTAGCTAAACAGGCACTCTTGGGCATACTGTAGCTTGAGCAAACGCTAAGGAACTTCGGAGGAAGATATTCAAAGTTACAGCATTTTATATAATAGAAATTCTTCTGACAAACCTCTTGCCCGTAATCGTTTCCCTGTTCTTGTCCTCCTTGATTGTAGTTATAGGTCCCTTGATTCTCTGCTTCGCTGGCTTGAGCGTTGTACTGAAATCACTTTAAGTTATGGATACTGTAGCATTGCTTGTAGCTAGCCAGACATTCTTGGGCATACTGTAGCTTGAAAGAACGAAAAGAAACTTCGGAGGAAGATATTCAAAGTTACAGTATTCTTTAGCATAGAAATTCTTTTAATAAACCTCTTGTCCGTAATCGTTTCCCTGTTCTTGTCCTTGTTGATCTTCTCCTTGTTGATCGTAATACTGTCCATAGTACTCATTCGTCGTTCCATCACCCGTTGGAGCCTGTCCCGTCTCATAGCCAGTCCATTGCCCATTATCATCGTAGTATTGCTGTTGGCTAAATATAAGTTTAAGGACTTTATTAAGCTTAATAAAGTCCTTAAAGCCTAAGCTTTGCTTCTGGTTCAATTACCCAAGTCGGTAAATGCAAAATTTCCCCACAAACCTAAAGTAATGTGCATAGTACTCGGCGTAGCTTTGCTCTTCTCCATTCTTGTCGGTGTAGGTCCCCTCAAATTGTTGAGTTTCCGGGTTCCAGCCTGGATATTGATTAAATTCTTGAAATAAGATCATACTCAGCTCATTGAATCTCACAAATGAAACAATGCCAAGCTAGTTTGCTTAGAAGATTTAAATTAAGATCGATTCTCATTAAAACGAAATTATTGGCAGGTAGGTAAACTTTGAAAACTTTGAATCACCTCTCCAAGATAGCCAATAAGTTTCCGGGTTCCGCTAAAAGTTTAAACCAATTAAATTCGAGTTTTCATTGGACTAATCAGTAAAATCAATAGCTCCAATCGATTCGCCGATCCCGAAAACCCCGGGTACAAATTTCCAGTTGAATATCTTCTTTTTGTACGATATATAATGCAAAACGAAGATCCCTGTTCAGGTGTTCTTTGTGCGGCCGCATAATCGCTCTCCATCTGGCAAACTGCTCTGGTACAAGGGCTTTAGAAGAGACCCAGAAAGGGAAAGGAGCAGAAGTTGACAATGGACTTGCCAGACGCTTCAAACCTCAATCGGACTCCTTAAAAGGCTCCCCGGCGGGGCAGAGGAGGTACACTGGTGGTCTAGGGGTCAACAGACTAGACTTCCGCCCAGAGGATCATGGTTCGATCCCCGGCTAGACTTTTTGTTCTTGTGTTTCTTTTCTTGCAACTTCTAGCTAATTGCATTATGCTTTTTCTTTTAATTTCTTTAATCGTATTGAAAAATTGTCTATTGAATTGAATGATTAATGAAAAAAAAGGATATTCTTTATCAACTTGAACTTGAATAACCAATTCCTACTTTAAAAGCCGCCATTTGGCTGTATTTTGCTAGAAATTCTAAAAACTTTATAAAAATTATTACCAAAACCCGCCGATAATTTATTTTTTAGTGAGAATCGGTCCAAATTTGGAGTCAGGTTCAATAGGCAAAACAAACCCCACCTTCATACTGTGAGTAATCGTATGCTTGGTCTTGATCGATTTGCTGAGCAATCACTTCGTCAACTTTTCCCTCAACTCCTTCAATGTCTTCCTGGTCAATTCCTTCATTTTTTGGCTCTTCCTCCGGTTTCTCTTCCGATTTCTCTTCCAATTTCTCTTCCAATTTCTCTTCCAATTTCTCTTCCAATTTCTCCTCTTCTTTCCCAAAATCCTCACTTTTCCTCCTCAAATCCGATATCTCTTCCTTTTCTTGAAATTCTTTTAATCTTTCCTCAATCTTTTCTCTCTTTATCGACTCTTTTCTTATAATTTCTTCATCTCTTGGCGGTTTTTCGGGTGCTTTCTTTTCCTCTTCCGACTCAGGTTTTTTCATTAAACTTGCTCGAATTGCTGCGTCGATATCCGACGGATTTTCGATGCCCATTCGCTGAAAGTTTACGATAATATAGATATTATTTTATTTAAAATATTAACCCTAAAACTAGATATATTATCTACTAAATAAAGCAGAAGAGAGGTCTGTCCGTCCGTCTGTGCGGTGGCAAAAAGGGGTGAGGCTTAGATTGCGAGGAAAACGTGGAAAATGCGAGTTTATCCACAATCTTGCTGTAAATCCAGCACTTTCCTATTGAAGAAAAGATTCTGTACACCGATTTCTATAGTATTTGACTCCTACACCGTTCATTTTAAACCTTATCTTTATATAGAATCATTTTGCATCGTTTCGGTTGGCTCCGGTTGGCTGGAAGTTTTTGCTTCCTTTTTATTAAATTGCTGAAATCAATCACTGAAATGAAAAGCTATCGTAATCCGTGAGAAATCCAGTAATTCAGACGGGTTACGGTAGCTGGGACAGGCTTTAGGGCGACCACTAGCCAAATGAGCAAATACTTTCCACGACTATCATCATATCAAAACATTTTTACGAGCCAGACTCTTTCTTCTATTTCTTCTTTACCATAAAACTATATGAAAAGCCAAATTATACTAGCAAAAAAGCTTTAAATGAAAATTAGAAAAATTAGACTGGATTAGAGGCAAATGAACTCAAAATATTGCTCAATAGATGGCTAAAATCCTAAATAAAGGATTGCTTTTAGAAATAACTCTTGGGAAATCTAATCTAGAGAAAACTAATCTAGAGAAAACTAATCTTTAAAAGCGAATCTTTAAAGATCTAATCTTTGAGAGCTAATCTTTAAAGCTAATATTTAAAAGCTAATCTTTAAAAGCTAACCTTAAAAAGCTATTCTTTAAAAACTATTCTTTAAAAGCTATTCTTTAAAAGCTAATCTTTAAAGATCTAATCTTTGAGAGCTAATCTTTAAAGCTAATCTTTAAAGATCTAATCTTTAAAAGCTAATCTTTAAAGATCTAATCTTTAAAAGCGAATCTTTAAAAGCTAATCTTTACAAAGCTAATCTTTAAAAATCTATTCTTTAAAGATCTATTCTTAAAAAAGCCAATAATTTAGAAGTAAATCTATTCAAAAATGTCTAGAAAATGAAACGACTGTGACTAAATCAAGAAATTGCTTAGTTTTTAGATAAATTAATGACATTTGCGCTTAAATTTCTTGTTTTTAGTCTAGATTTTATTAAGATTGATCATTTTTTTTCCAAAAAATCTCTCTCACATCAGCGTGGACGATGATTTTCATTTCCGATTGTTTCCTGAATCTCTCCCGCTCCTCGGCCATATCCTCCGAGAATTCGGGTTCCGGTTCTGAGTCGTCCATTTTACGCTAAAAAAAAAGTCCATTTTACGCTTTTCCCTTATTTAGCACATTCTTCTCGTCATTTCAATGCAAGAAATAGCTTTTTGAAAGCATTTTTTGAAAGTACAGTACTGGACAATGAAATATGATATTTAAAAAATGATCGTCACGTTTGCACGTCTGTAACTCCCTTGTCGTTAAGTTTGTCTTTGAGTTAAACAATTAGTGTTATACATTTTCTGAAAGCTCTTTTCAAGGGCTACACAATGGTAATATGAATATTTAAAAATACGGTAAAGACAAGGGAGTTACAGACGCGCGAAAGTGACGATCGATTTTCAAATATCATATTTCGTTGTCCAGTAGTGTATTTGCTCATTTGGCTGGTGGTCGCTCTAAAGCCTGTCCCAGCTACCGTAACCCGTCTGAATTACTGATAATTTCTTACGGATTAGCGACCACCAGCCAAATGAGCAAATACACTACTGGACAACCAAAATATCATATTTGAAAAACGATCGTCACTTTCGCGCGTCTGTAACTCCATTGTCTTTACCGTATTTCTAAATATTAATATCACCATTGTGTAGCCCTTGAAAAGAGCTTTCAGAAAATGTATAACACTAATTGTTTAAACTCAAAGACAACGAAGTTACAGACGTGCAAACGTGACGATCGTTTTTTTTGCAAATATGATTTTTCATTGTCCAGTACTGTAAGTAAAGAGAAAGTAAATCTGCTCACTTTTTGTGGCAATCCCTCGACTGCAAATGAATCGTCAAATCCGGTCGCTTCAAGCGTTTTCTACAAGAGAATTATTGAGTTTTTTTTGTTTAGAAATCAAAAAAGTTTACTTAAATGAAAAGAAGATTAGCTTAATTTGAGTAATTTAGTGTGAAAATTGAAAATTTATTGAAATTTATTGAAATTTATTGAAATTTATTGGAATTCAATTGGGGAAATAGGTGTGAGAGCAAAAGAAAAGTAAAGAAAAGTAGAAAAAAGTAAAGAAAAGATCAGAAAAGATAAGAGAAGTTCTCAAATTTTCAATTGTATTGGTGAATTCGATGAATTTCCATAAAAATTAACTAAGTTTTGATGATTTTAAGTGAAAAATTACTTTTCTAAAAGCTAAAGCTTTGAAAAAACTCGTCGGATTTCGTCTCTAAATCGACTAAATGAAAGAAAGCGCTTTCTGCGGCTTTCCCCAAAGCTAAAATCTCGAAAACTTTCCATTTCAATAAGTAAAATTTAATGAATAACATTTTATATGCTAATTTTCTTTACAAATTTGAATAGATAATAGAAATAACTACCGTAAATACTGTAATAATACCCCACCGCCATAATGGCGGCTTAAACAGCGAAAGCTTCTTGTATGGAGTTAGAGGAATTACTGCATGCGCTATATAGTTCAAACTTATCACCATCTGATTTTTACATCTTCAGATCCATGCAACATTTTCTTGCGAATTGCCAGTGAAAGAATATCAATTTAAGAATGCAGAAGAGATCGAGATTTAGGTAAACGACTACTTTCAATCACAGAATCAAGCTTTCTTCGATAAGCCGCAATCTTGGCAACATTGGAGGGGATACTACCCCCATAATGACGGTGCGGAGTGTTGCGTAGGCTAGCTTTGAACGAGTTTTTCTCGACACTGGTTTATGCTACAATGCGCGTTTAAATATCAAAAAATAGCTGAAATTCAGGGCTATTTTTTGATACCAAAGACGAATTTTTTGGAAGTATAGGTGCTTTGAAAAAATGAAATACGAAAAACGCGACTGTACGGGGCGGGGCTGGGGTACTTTTACAGTATTTACGGTAGGCTGTCCGGATATAAACGAGCGTTGGCACTGCTTAACTCGTGAGGAAGCCAATACAGTGGACTTTAATAGTACCCCACCCCAATAATGACGGTGCGGAGTGTTGCGTAGGCTAGCTTTGAACGAGTTTTTCTCGACACTGGTTTAGGCTACAATGCGCGCTTAGATATCAAAAAATAGCCCTGAATTTCGGCTATTTTTTGATACCAAAGACGCATTTTTTGAAAGTACGGGCGCTTTGAAAAACAATGAAATACTAAAAAACCTTTGCGACTACGCGACTGTACGAAGGGCGGGGAGGGGGCTATTACAGTATTTACGGTAGGTTATTTGGATGTAAACGAGTATTTGCACTGCTTGCACTTGTACGGGAATAATTTCGTGTCTAAATATATCATCATTTGAAATATTTACTTAGCTAAACTCAATGAACGCTATTCGAAAGAAATGAAAGCTCAAATCATCAAAAACCCAACAAATACAATGTAATGAATAGTCGAATTTCAGAAATTGATTTCAAATATGCAAATTTTCTTTACAAATTTGAATATAGAATAGAATTGGCTCAACCGATTCAACGTTTTAGCGGATAATCAGATCTAAACTCTTTCGTCTGAGTGGTTTAACTAATCTGTTGGCTCTGGTTTATTTAATATATTCATTCTTATTAATTTCAATGCTATTTGCTCATAAACATAATGCTTTTAGAGTTTTATACTATTTGTAAACGTTTTGGAAGATTTTTTGAAAGAAAAGATCATCATTTAACTAAAAAATGAAAAAAGAATAGATCTAGAGGGGATCGAACCCGAACGAACCAGGAAGCACGAACGACTAGTAAACGCCGGCACTATCCACTGCGCTACACTCCACCTACGGGGAAGGATTGAAATAAGACCTATCTCCTCTCTAGCTCCATAAACAAACTAAACTTTGATGCCAAATATCTTGCGATACAGAGCTTCATTGAAAAAACTAAAAGCAGATTCGGAATCCTCATTTAAAACTCTATTAAATACACTAAATACGCGCCAAAAAATCACCTTTACCTGATACTTTTCTCTAGTAATGATAAATCATTTAAAAATCCCTTTAAATCCATTTAAAACCGTTTAAATCCGTTTAATTTCGTCTAAAATCCGTTTAAATCCGTTTAAATTCGTTTAAATTCGTTTAAATTCGTTAAAATCCGTTTAAATTCGTTTAAATTCGTTTAAATCCGTTTAAACCCGTTTAAATCCGTTTAAATCCATTTAAATCCATTTAAATCCATTTAAATCCATTTAAATCCATTTAAATCCATTTAAATCCATTTAAATCCATTTAAATCCATTTAAATCCATTTAAATCCATTTAAATCCATTTAAATCCATTTAAATCCATTTAAATCCATTTAAATCCATTTAAATCCATTTAAATCCATTTAAATCCATTTAAATCCATTTAAATCCGTCTAAAACCCGTTTAAATTCGTTTAAATTCGTTTAAATTCGTTTAAATTCGTTTAAATCCCTTTAAACCCGTTTAAATCCATTTAAATCCATTTAAATCCATTTAAATCCGTCTAAAACCCGTTTAAATTCGTTTAAATTCGTTTAAATTCGTTTAAATTCGTTTAAATTCGTTTAAATCCGTTTAAACCCGTTTAAATCCATTTAAATCCATTTAAATCCATTTAAATCCGTCTAAAACCCGTTTAAATTCGTTTAAACCCGTTTAAATCCATTTAAATCCATTTAAATCCGTCTAAAACCCGTTTAAATCCGTTTAAATCCATTTAAATCCGTTTAAATCCATTTAAATCCATTTAAATCCGTCTAAAACCCGTTTAAATCCGTTTAAATCCATTTAAATCCATTTAAATCCATTTAAATCCATTTAAATCCATTTAAATCCATTTAAATCCATTTAAATCCATTTAAATCCATTTAAATCCATTTAAATCCATTTAAATCCATTTAAATCCATTTAAATCCATTTAAATCCATTTAAATCCATTTAAATCCATTTAAATCCATTTAAATCCATTTAAATCCGTTTAAATCCATTTAAATCCATTTAAATCCATTTAAATCCATTTAAATCCATTTAAATCCATTTAAATCCATTTAAATCCATTTAAATCCATTTAAATCCATTTAAATTCGTCTAAATTCGTTTAAATCCATTTAAATCCATTTAAATCCGTCTAAAACCCGTTTAAATTCGTTTAAATTCGTTTAAATTCGTTTAAATTCGTTTAAATTCGTTTAAATTCGTTTAAATCCGTTTAAACCCGTTTAAATCCATTTAAATCCATTTAAATCCGTCTAAAACCCGTTTAAATTCGTTTAAATCCGTTTAAATCCGTTTAAACCCGTTTAAATCCATTTAAATCCATTTAAATCCGTCTAAAACCCGTTTAAATCCGTTTAAATCCATTTAAATCCATTTAAATCCATTTAAAACCATGAAAAGAACCAAAAATATAACCTCAAACAGTCGAATCTGCTTAATCGAATATGTTTAATCGAAAATCATCTCAAGAATTTATAAGAATTCGTCGTCTGGAGGCAATATTATTCAAAAAAAAAAGGAGTGTTTAAAGCATTTCACTGGATTCCAGAGAAAACTGCGAGTTTGAAAGGGGAAAAGATTTAAGCCGAAAAAGGGGTACTAGGGCCCCAAAAAGGGCCTGCCCTGGCCCGATTTCCTCACAATGCAGGGGTAGACTTATAGGGGAAAAGAGCGGGATTTTTTCCCCCTCTTTCACACACACTTCTGGAGCCTCTCCAGCCTCTTCAGCCTCTCCAGGGCGATCTTCTGCTCTCTTTCTCTTTCTTTTTGATGTCTATTTGGACTGGGTAAGGCTGGGGATCCAGGGAAATCGATGTCCCACCGGGCTTCTCCTTTCCTCAACTCTCCCCCAACTCACCCCTTTCCGCTCCATCATTTTTCTTCGTGTGCTTGCCTAAATCCCACCAATCTTCTTCTTGAATCAAAATAACATGATAGTAGTGGAATTCTGACGATTCTGGAATTCTGGGAACCCAAAAAAGAACACTGGCAAGCTTATCTGACAAGCTTTATCTAGCAAGAGCAAGAGCAAGGGCAAGAGCAAGAGCTTTCTCTAGCAAGAGCAAGAGCAAGAGCTTTATCTAGCAAGAGCAAGAGCTGCATCTTTCAATTGCTCAGTAGCTAGCAGAACTTTGAACAAGTATAGATGTCTAGAGCAAGACCGTAGAACAACTATTCTTGAACAATTCCCTTGACAAGATATTAAGAAAGTTAGCTTCTTTGCCAAATTTGAGATAAAGACAAAGATTGCTGAAATTAAACCGAAAAAACCGAAAACTCAAAACAATTCTGTTTTTGGCTACAACTAAACTTGCAAGTACAATAGAACAAACAGCTTTAGTGCAACTCTTCCTCCAAAATCTGCCTACAGCTTTTTGCTACTGCTTAAATACTGCTTAAATTGCTTGCTGAGCCTAAAGGTGTCAAATTCAGTGTTGATTTTGAAAAGTCTTTGTCTTGAATAGATCAAGATTCAAGATCTATTCAAGATCTATTCAACACCAAGATTCAAGATCTATTCAACACCAAGATTCAAGATCTATTCAAGATCTTTTCAACTGCTTAACTTGAAAACTTTTCAAAGAAACATTGAAATCTGATAGATCCATTCAAAAGCTATGAATTGATTTCAATAATTGATTGAAAAAAGCTATTTCTTTTGCTCAAGTTGATCCTTTGGAATAGATTTGATAATTGTGGATGTGAAAAGGTTTTTGAATTCACATAAATTTGTAGTTTACACAAGAAATGATTGAGCGTTTTTTTTTTCGATAACTTTTTCTTCTTCATAATTTTCTTGAAAGCAGAATCGTCAATTGAGAATTTAGATTTTAGAATGCATAAAGTATTCAATGAAAAATGAGATTAGGAAGTAGTGAGCTAGGAAAATGATAGGTCATAAATCTTGCAAAACAAGAAAAAGAAACGCAGTGTAGAGATGGACAATTTGGCAATGCAATTTCCCGAACCAGGACCAAACAAGGATAGGTTTTTGTCCTTTCCTGGTTGTCCTATTTTCTTCGGAGCTTCTTTAAAAGTTTAGAGCAATTAAATCCTAGTCTAATTGCTTGAATTCATGAAATCAATCAATATCAATAGTTTAAACGAATTAAATCCGGGTTTTAATTGGACTAATCAGTAAAATGAATAGCTGCAGTCGATTCACCGACCTCGAAAACCCAGCTCAACATCTTGTACAATATAATGAGAAAAATGGTTCGTAGTGGGGTTCTTTGTGTAGCCATGTAATCGCTAGCGATCTAGCATACTCGTTCGGTATATAGGTTTCCCTTTTTTTTGAATCGATAAAGAGAAAAGAGTTTACCTGTTGCTCGCGTGAAGTTGTTGCTTGTGAGAAAGCTTTATCCTCAAGATATTCGGTTTGTCGTCTCGCTTCTCGTTCGGCTAAAAATCATAACTTTAAGACTTTTCGAACATTTTTATTCTCAAAAACATTTCTAAAAGATTAAGCTTATTGCTAGAATATTCAGTTGGCTTAGGCTTAGGCTTAGGCTTAGGCTGAGGCTTAGGCTTAAGCTTAGGCTTAGGCTTAAGCTTAGGCTTAGGCTTAGCTCAGGCTCAGGCCTTTGGAACATTTTTATTCTAAAAAAACACATCTAAAAGATTAAGCTTATTGCTAGAATATTCAGTTGGCGAAAGAAAAAAGCGAGATGTCGCTCACTCGGCCGTAATTATCTCGGGGAATCGAGGGGAATCGAGGGGAAATGGGGGGGAAAAGAAGCCGACGAAATGGTTGGGATGATGAAAAACTTCTTATAAAGCGCATAAATGAAACAATATTGAGAATCTAGCGTTTCTGGGACTCATTTTAAGTTGTTTTCTTGTCTAAACAAACCAGCTTTCCGCTCCTCGAAGTTCTCCCATTCGATGCTCGTCCGGCGATGGACAACCGGCTTCGGCGGGGCAACTGATCTGGAATCTCACTTTTACAGTAGGCTTTCTTTTGATTCTTGAGTGATTCTATTGATCTAAAATGGTTGAAAGCGGTCGAAAAATGGTCTAAATGGTCAAAGTGGTCTAAAAACGATCTAAAAACGGTCTAAAAACGGTCTAAAATGGTCTAGGAATAATAATAATAATAATAATAATAATAATAATACTTTATTCAAACGATAAAGTGAAAGAAACCATAGAGAAATGCACAGTGATACTTAATCATACAATACATACTGAAATCAATAAGCCAATTACTTACGGCAAAGAGCCACTAGATCTAAAGCATCGATACGTTTCTTGAATATGAAAAGCGACTGAATTTCTCGTATGTCGTTTGGGAGCAAGTTCCATAATCTAGCGGCTCTAACGGGAAATGAATTTGATAAAGAGGCATTGGAAGCAAAGGGAATTTGCAAAAGGAATGAGCTACTTCTGGGCCCTGACCGGTCTAAATGGTCTAAATGGTCAAAGTGGTCTAAAAACGATCTAAAAACGGTCTAAAAACGGTCTAAAATGGTCTAGGAACGGACTAAAATTATCTAAAATTCTTTAAAAGCAATCTAAAAATGGTCAAAATGGTCCAAAAAAATCTAAAAATGGCTTGAAATTGTCTAAAAGCTGTCGGAAAATGGTCTAAATGGTCTAAAAACTGTCTAAAAGGGTCTAAAATGGTCTAAAATGGTCTAGGAATGGACTAAAATTATCTAAAATTATCTAAAATTATCTAAAATTATCTAAAATTGTCTAAAAGCAATCTAAAAATGGTCTAAATAGTCTAAAACGGACTAAAATGGTCTAAAACGGCCTAAAAACGGTCTAAAATCGTCTAAAATCGTCTAAAATGGTCTAAAATGAGCCAAAAACGGTCTAAATGGTCTAAAAACGGTCTAAATAGTCTAAAATAGTCTAAAATAATCTAAAAACGGTCTAGAAATGGTCTAAAATTATCTAAAATTATCTAAAATTATCTAAAATTATCTAAAATTGTCTAAAATTGTCTAAAATTGTCTAAAATTGTCTAAAATTGTCTAAAATTGTCTAAAATTGTCTAAAATTGTCTAAAATTGTCTAAAATTGTCTAAAATTGTCTAAAATTGTCTAAAATTGTCTAAAATAGTCTAAACGGTCAATAAAAGCTGGTCAAGTCAAGGTACAGTAACCTGGAAATGTCTAACCATTTCTTGGATTCAACAGAAAAAATGCGCTACAAGATACCGTAATCTGGAACTATTTTCTTATGGGTTTTACAGATTAAAATCCACCATATAATCCTGTCAATTTCAAAAATGTCAGCGTTTTACCTGTACACCGGATTCTCCTCCAAGATATCTCCCTCATAATCGTTCATTGAAGTTCTACGTCCACCGACTTGTGAGCCACTGCGTTGAACCTGAAAATAAACAAATGACAGCAGCTAGTAAAGCTGGTTAAGTCAGTAGATTTTTCAGTAGACAGTAGACAGTAGATTTTTCCTTTCTTTACCACTTTATTAGTAGATTTATTAACCTAAAGATCGTAGATTTGTTGACGCTCAACGCTTTAACAATACTTGAATTCAAGCACTACAAGGTACAGTGACTGAAAGTGCAATACTTGTCAGTTATCTTTGTCACTTTAGAGAACTTTAGAGAACTTTAGACAAAGTGTATAAAGCTTTTAGAGTTTTACACGATCTCCTTTATCGATCTCCTTTATCGATCTCCTTTATCGATCTCCTTTATCGATCTCCTTTATCGATCTCCTTTATCGATTTGCCAGATTTTTAACTTACTTTTAAACAATCAATATCTTTTGAAGCGATAAGAGAGAACAAAACAAAAGCCAAACCCATCACTGACCCTTTGACTACTCACACTATCATAGAGCTCCGAGTATGACATATCCGATTTTCGTCGTTTACCGCCTAAATTCCAAATTAAATTCCATTATCCATTCAGCCATCAAATCAACAAACCAGCTGGTATTTTCACTTTAATCTTCTCCTGTCTTTCTCTTTCTCGTTCCACTTCTTCTTGACTCATGAAAGCTGAGGACTGAAATTCTTTTCTGAAGTTTATTCTTAAAGTCTATTCTTAAAGTTTCTTCTTAACATATAGCGCTCTAAATCTTCTCCAAGACCAAAATCACACTTTAGAGAACACTTTTACACGATCTGCTCATCCTAAGCCTAAGCCTAAGCCTAAGCCTAAAACTCCCCAGACAAAAAAGGGGTTCAGCCCAAAAAAAAATAAATTAAAAAGAAAGGCAAGCCTAAGCCTAAGCCTAAGCCTAAGCCCTAAGCCTAAGCCTAAGCCTAAGCCTAAGCCTTAGCCTAAGCCTAAGCCTAAGCCTGAGCCTAATCTATCAAACTATCAAAACCAGACCAAAATCTATCAAAGCCTACTCAAAGCTTTATTCTTATCTTGCTTAAATTCAAATCTGGTGCTTGGTTTTGTGATTTCTTACCTCAATTGCGCATTGTTGAGTTGGAGTAGTTGGTCGGGGTCTTGTCAAAGCCGTCACACTGTACTGTTGCCGTAAAGCAACATGATCGGCTTCCTGGAATAGATCTTTTCGAAAAAAACCAACAATAAATACAATGTCTGAATCTTTTCCATTAAAGCTAGCCATTAAAGCTAGCCTTTAAAATAGTCATTAAAGCTAGTTAAAATCCCTTTACTGTACCTGAGGTCCTCTAGCCGATCGGCTCACTGATCCTGAATCACTTCTCCCATCTCGAGAAGCAGCTGATGACTCTGGAAATAAGATATTATTGGTTTAAAATAGCCAAATCCAAGCCAGACGATAGCCTGAACTGCTTGGATCTGATCTAGACTAAGCCTGGCTTTGTTTCACTACTTAATTGGTTGTGGATTTTGTCTGGATTGATCCGACAAGAGAAGTACCAAAGCACCGCCGATCGCCAGAGGCCCAAGAAGTCATAAGACGGAGTAAGCTGATCAAAATATCGCAAAAATTCACTGCCCATACTCAAGGAAATTTTCAACAACTCGGTTAAAAGGCTTTTCTCGGGATGCGTTACTGTGGACTGGTGGCCTATCGGATAAGGTGGTTGTATACAAAACGAGCTACCTTTCTTTGCTCGGATTCGAGTCCTCGCCTTGCAATTTATTTTGCTTTTTGGATTTTAAGGAGACTAATAGGGATTTATTTTTTTTCTGTTCATTTCCCTTTCTATATTTCAATAAATAAAGATAATCGAAAATAGAGTTTTCTTCGCTTACTTATTTTACCTCTTACTACTTCTCTTTGAACGTCTGGCGATCGGTGGTGGCAAGCTGGGGTACTTCACTTAAGAGTATGACTTGCCTGATCTGCCTCTACTACTTGACCCTGACTTAAGTCTTTTTTGTCCTCTCCTGGTCCACAAAAGTCCTCTCCTAGTCCCTCTCCTAGTTCACAAAAGTCCTCTCCTAGTCATCTCCTAGTCCTAAACCAATCAGAAGACTGGTCTGGACTTGTCATGACCTAGCCGCTAGTTGTCTAGCTGCTTATCTAGCCGAAATCTGGCTCGGATCTGAGATTCCCTTAGTTTTTATTATGAGTATATAGATAAGGATGATTTTTTTCTTTTTCCCAACCAGCTTTCGCCTCGGTTTGCCCGATTGCCTCCAGCTCACTGTCCAAGCTTTCCTCGTCGGCGTCTCTCAGCAAACTTTTATGCATCTCAGCTTCCTGAAAGCATTTTGTATCAAGGATTTAGCGTTTCATCATTTTTCTTTTCAATCTATTCAACTCTCTAACAATCTCGATCCTTTTGATCAAACCTGTTCCGTGTGTCCCGGCCCTGGCACCACCATTTTAAACTTTTGCGTCTCGCCAAGCGTGTTATCGATCGTCTCCTCACGTTTCACCTAGAAAACTCGCTTTTAAACTTAAACTATTCCATCATTTACCTCAACAATCGTATCATTCGTATCACTGTTCTTCATCCCGGCACTTAAACGATCAATGTCAAGCGATGGGGGCAATTCGGGAGCCGGTGGAAGATCGACGTCGATCGACTCAGTGAATGAGCGCATCGCTCTCGCCGTTCGAGCTAAGGGATGGTCTGAAATCTTTCAAAATCGATAAATTCAGAAGAGAATCTCAAACTGAAAAAGTTTGTTTTGCGTTTTATGAGAATCTCTAGATGACATTGCTCAGATCTGCTTAAGCAAGGCTTATGAATAAGCAAGGATAAGCCGCGATTATCCTAATCTTGAAGAGCTGAAACTGAAAGAGTCATTCCTGAAAAATTTGAGAGAAAGGGAGTATAAAACTAAGTGTAAGTTCAAGAACAATATAGAACTTTTACTCATCGCAAAAACGGTCCAGCAGATCAAGGTGTAAAATGGTTCTGGCCTGATCTGGGACTAGGCTGAGACTAGCCTGGTTTTATTAGACATGGAAACATTAGGATGTGGCCAAATGAGATAATCCATAAACTATTCAATGCAGAATTTCACGCTGATTCCGAATCTGCTTTCTGTTTTTGCAAAATCGCTTTCTATAAAAAGTTATACGTGTTTTAAGGTGAAAAGGCGAAAATTTCAAGCCGAATAGAGCCGAATAGGGCTAAATAGAGCCGAATAGAGCCGAATAGAGCCGAATAGGGCTAAATAGAGCCGAATAGAGCCGAATAGAGCCGAATAGAGCTGAATAGGGCCGAATAGGGCCTTTGCAACGGCCTCTCACCGCCTTTATAACGGTTCTCTCAGGGCTCGATGGAACGCTTCTCAGGGTCAAACGGCTCGATGGTGTAGTGGATAAAACGCTTGCAAACAAAACGACCATCCCATTGTTTGCTCGAGTTCGATTCCTTTTTGGGAAAACTTTCCTCTAAGCTAACATGATCTGCCTGCAAGTCCGTTTAGGAAAGCATTACCTTACATGAAATTGTAATTTAAATGTAAACTTAATTATTGTCTTTTAGCGTTTGTGGGTTTTGTTGTGTAATCTTTAATAATTTCCCGAACCTTCTCCATCCTCGTCACTTTTGACAAAACCCACAAAACGCTCGACGAGTTCTTCCGAAAATCACGAGAAATTACTCAAGAAAAAGCTGGAAAAGCCGCTGAGAAACGAGATGAAACAAGCAAAGAATATGGATGATTTCTTGACGTTTGGAAGGTTGATTTCATTTTGTAAAACTTACATAAAGCTTTTTTTAGATTTTTAGCGCTTGTGGTTTTTTGTCTCGTGTAATCTTTAATAATCTACTGAACCTTCTCCATCCTCGTCACTTTTGAAAGCATTTCTCCCAGCGTGCGGATCATAGGGAAGAGATCGATCATCTCTCCAAGACATTTTTCACGTTTAATTGCACTTTCTTTCAATCAACATACTGAAATAAATAGTAAAGAATCATTAGAAAAGTTAAAATTTCGAAAAACATCATTTTCCAGAGCTGAACATCATTTTTCAGAGCTTTAAAAAGTCCAGCTTTGACAAAAAAAAAGTACAATTTCAAATTTGAAGCATTTTTTGTAGAAAAAAAATCTGAAAACTAGCTTTAAAAGGGATAAAAAGAGGAACACTAAGACAAAAAAAATTGATTTTTCAAAAACCCAGCTTCAACAGAGAATGGAAAAGGTGTTGCGTGTGAAATCCAATTTACGCAATGGGCCTTTTTTTTCTTCTTTTCAACACCAAACAATTTGTCGCCATCTTTTTTTTTCCTTCAACTGGCATCAAATTTTCTATTTTGCTTTCGATTTTAAGAATGAAAAAACGATTTTAAGAAAATGAAAGATAAAAGACATTTGATTATTGGAAAATGATCTTGTTTATGTTTGTGAAAAGTTGTAAGCCATAGCAAGTAGCCAAAGAAGGCAGCCAAAGCAGGTAGCCAAAGCAAGCAGCCAAAGCAAGCAGCCAAAGCAAGCAGCCAAAGCAAACAGTCAAAGCAAGCAGCCAAGGTAGGCAGACAAAGAAGGCAGACAAAGAAGGCAGACAAAGAAGGCAGACAAAGAAGGCAGCTAAAGCAAGCAGCCATAGCAAGCAGCCAAAGCAAGCAGCCAAAGCAAGCAGCCAAAGCAGTTAGAGGTCAAAATTTTAAAAAAGCAATAGCTGTTTCAACTTTTATCATTTAGAGATGAGTTATTTTGATAATTGACAAGATAAGGTACGATTTATGCTAAAGAAAAGGAGAATACTAATAAGGGAATGTTAACTGGGTGTGATGGGGCAAATGACATGACCATTCAATGACACGCTGATCCGGAATCTGCTTTCCATTTTTGCTCTGTCAAAAGTTATAGGTGCTCAAAGCTTGGTATGGGATTCCAAAGGATTTTGGGCCACCGAGTTTATATGCAGAATTCGACTAGAGCATCCATCAGGCAGGTTAGTTGATTGGCAGTGGCTTGGAATGCGAGGCAAACCCTCTATAGTTCGAGTCCGGGGCTTGACTTTTTCTTTTTTTGTTTTGGATTTTTACTTTTACTTTTGAAATTAATTGTTCTCCGTTTCAAATACAAGTTTATTTTAAACTAGTTCTCATAAAAATGCTTACTTTTAACTATTAACCATTAAATGATCATTAAAAAATGTAAACTAATGAACTTTTAAAAAAATTCACCTCAATAATCGAAAAGCGATGACTTTAAAAGAAGATTTTCTTTAAATTTTGCAGAAAAAAAACAATTCTGCATTCTCCATTAAGAGTTTAACCCATTTGAAAGGAATTTCTGAATTTCGGATTGAATTTGAACAAGATGGGAAAATGGAAACGTTTATAGATGAAAGAGAACGTTGTTCATTCATTCAAATGAGCCAAAAGCAAGGCTCACAAATGAAAATCTTAAGCCTTGACTGTACGATAACAAAATTCAAATTCAAATTCAAAATAAACCTGAGCCTAAGCCTAAGCCTAAGCCTAAGGGGGTTTAGCCCAAATCCAAATAGACTTAGGCGCTAGCCGCTAGCCTTCGCGCTAAGCCCAAGCCTAAGCCTGGCAAATCATAAAATCGACTCAACTTCTAGACATGACAGCGACTTGAATTTGCAAGGATACTCCCCTAGGATTCCAAAGCACAAGGACAATCGCTTGCATCTTAGCTCCAAGAACTGGTTGAGATCCAGAAAATGGGGGTTGTGCCTAAACCCAAATAGACTTAGTGCGAGGCGCTAGCCTTCGTACTAAGTCCAAGTCTAAACCTGCATCTAAACAGAACACATGTACAAAGCAATGAAAAGTAAACTTTCAATAATGAGGAGGAGGTTTCTTTTCTTGAAAGGGATGCATTTGGACAGGAGGAATAAAAGGGGGTTGGATAGGGCCCCGGAATCGATGTGTGCGTGTGTGTGAGTGGGGAAGAGAGGGAAAGAAAGGGAAAGAAAGGGAAAGAGAGGAAAAGAGATAGAAGGGGTCCACTCTCCCATAGAAAGGGCCCTATATGGGCCCTCCTTTCCTTTCCTTTCTCCCTTATCTTCACAACTAAACGAGGGAATGCTCACCTTTAGCCTTTCTTTCCTAAAGATCCCAATCCTAAAGGTCCTAAAGATCCTAAAGATCTCCTTTCTTTTACCCCAATGCAAGATTTATAGAGCTCAGCTCAGCTCAAACATTCTGTAAACCTTTTGAAGACTGCAGATCTTCAGATTCTGTAAACTGTAGATCAAAATTAGATAAGTTGATGAAATTTAAAGATTACTAGTGAGAAAAAGATTGATTTTCTAATCCTTTTCTAATCTTCTAATCGAATCTTGGTAGTTTTCTAAATTATCGTAGTTTTAAAGATCAGTTTTACCTATTTACCTATTCTTTAGAAAGCTCTAAGAAAATCGGCTTACTTTCAGCTTAACTATTGATTTTTTTTCTGGGAAATCTTTAGTTCTGACAGTTTAATTAGACTTTTGTCTACTTTACAGCTGAACTCAGTTCAAATTTAACTCAAAACTGCTTAAGTTTTTGTTTGTAAACTGCAGATGTTCTTAACTAATCGTTGAAGAGTCAAAAATTCAATTAAACATTAGCATTACCCAAAAAAAAACCTTTATTATATAGCTTCTCAATCACAAATGAACGTTGAAACTATTGGGTTAATGAATTGAAAATTGCAAGATTTAGAACTAAAATTTATTCAACATAAAACCACCAATTCATTGCAAATAATTTCCATTATTATTGACGACTTCTGCTGATTTTACAGGCAATTTGCGGTTTCCTCTTTCGTGGTAGGATTTTGGTTTGTGTGTGAGACGAGTGTGAGACTCAAAAATGGAGGACTGGAGATGTCCCAGTGTCCCAGTTTGAGCACTTTCTTCGAGCAGCTGTCCCAGTTTGAGCACTGCGGATTCCTCTTTCGTGGTTGGATTTTGGTTTTGAATCGAAAAACTTTCAAAGCCAATTTTTGGCTGCTTCTTCCGAATCGAAGTGTTCTCCCGCAAGCTACAGGAAGCCAAGGTACAAATTGGAGCTCCCGTCCACAAAAGCACTCTTTCTCGAGCTATCAAGTGTTACATCCGTTACATCAGAAGAGCAGTCATAAAGAAAGCACCAAAACTGAAGCCGGCACACAAAGAAAAAAAGGATGTCTTGGGCTCGGGATCACATCACCATTACTCATGATCCGGAATAAATAGTAATCAAAAGGGGCGCGGTCCGGACTGTATGGGGAATTTCCCCAAAGAAGTTCCCAAATAAGGCTATTTATTTTAGAGCGAGTCAGTTTTGCAACATGAGGGCGTGCGTTGTCGTGGATGAGAGCGGTCTTTGACTTGGAGGGCCTATTCTTCTTCATGGATTCATTCACCTTTCCCAACTGTCCACTGTATTTGATTGCATTAACAGTTGTCTTGCTATCCAGCAACTCCCAGTACAAGTGTGTGAGACAAGTGTGAGACTCAAAAATGGAGGACTGGAGATGTGTGTCAACTCCCAGTGTCCCAGTTTGAGCACTTTCTTCAAAAGAAACCCATTTTGATGTCAATAGAAAAGTTGTAGAGAATCAAAAATGAGGCTTATATCCAAATTTCCAAAAAGATACACTTAGTAGTTTCGCTTAAAATGCAAGTTTTGTGAAAATTCGTAAATTTAGCATTTCTTCAAAACCAGTTTTTGAATCGTTCTGAAAATTTGGATATAAGCTTGATTTTTGATTCTCTACAACTTTCCCATTGACACCAAAATGGGTTTCTTTTGAAGAAAGTGCTCAAACTGTCACATATGACAATAGCCCGCAGTTTTCAATTCACCAATCCAATAGATTGAGATTAGCCTTGATTTGAGGAGAAATCAATGTCCAATTTGAGGATTCGGAGCCGGCCAGAGTAGTGTGGCAAAGGAAGAGAGAAGGGGGTTATGTAAAAGCCCTGCACCAGACGACGAGCGATTACGACGAGCGGCACAAAGAACAGACAAATTTTAATCGAAACTACTAAATGTATCTTTTTGGAAATCTATAAGCTTGATTTTTGATTCTCTACAACTTTCCCATTGACACCAAAATGGGTTTCTTTTGAAGAAAGTGCTCAAACTGTCACATATGATAATAGCCCGCAGTTTTCAATTCACCAATCCAATATTTTGAACATCGAAATAAATTATTTTAAATAAGCATTGAAAAGAAATTTATCAAATCTTAAGGGAAAATGAATTTGAAAGGTTAAAGAAGAGCTTGAAGGAGGCTGATCAAATTGAACAAGAATTGAACGGTTTAATGAAATTAATCCAATTGAAATAATATTCCTGAGCTAAAAGTAACAATGCCAAATCAAAAAAGGGTTTAAAAATAACACATCAAGATAACACATCAAACAAAAGTTAAAGAAAGATCTGAATTTTTAGACATCTGAAGGTTTTAGGCTTTAGGCTTTAGGCTTTGAGGCTTTAACCACTCCTCTTCAAATTGGACGAGAAACGGAACGCAGAAATGATTGAATTCTCTCTAATCTGTCTTCGTTCTCAATCACTCCTTCTCTATCTTCAATTAATGCTTAATGCTTTTACAGTAAATTATTGAGATAATTGAATTCTCTCTAATCTGTCTTCGTTCTCAATCATAAAAATGAAAACAAAAAGTTAGAACAAGGATCGAACTGTGATCCTGTGGTCTAAAGCGAAGTCTAATCCGTTATTCACTAAATCATCAACGTCTCTTTATTAGGAAGAAGGAAGAAGTCTTTCAAAGCAGTTAGTTAGCAGTTCTAAAGCAATTGGGCTTTTAGATTCATTTCTTGATTTTTAGACATCTGAAGGCTTTAGGCTTTAGGCTTTGAGGCTTTAACCACTCCTCTTCAAATTGGACGAGAAACGGAACGCAGAGACGATTGAATTCTCTCTAATCTATCTTCGTTCTCAATCA